CTGAGAGCTGTTGCCTAGAAAGACCTCTAGTCGCTTAAGGGGCAGCCGTTTTCAGTGTAGAACCCTTGCTCGTAATTGGTCCACAAAACTTTCAGAAGGCCCAAGTCCCAGGACATTTTCTAGGTTTGCGGGTTTTGGAGAGAGCCCTAATTTGGCTCATGTCGGACCCTGAAACCTTCAGGCCAAGCTTCGGAGGAGGTCTTCGCGGTGGTGCAGCGCCATGCCGCCAGGCCAGGGATCCCCGGCCTGAAAGCGGAACCCACGAGAAGCGCAGCCAGGGAATCATGTGCTACGAAACTCACGGCCAATTCACGGCGCTTTTCCACAGGATCACCAGGAAAGAGGCAAGAAGCTCGGATCCTTGCACATACAAGGCTGACATGGGCATTTGTTATGGGCGTTGCCCTTAGCTTCAGGACCAGCCAAACGAAACTAGGGGACCTTTCCATATATGGGCCACAATATGCGCCCTGTGGGTCGATACAATGGGTTCCTTTGCTGGAGGAAGATGCCCAACCACTTCCCAAGACAGATCTTGGCTGTGTCTGAAATTTGTTAAAATGATTGCTTCGTCGTGCGGGGGTGCAGCATTTTACGTACTAGTATATACTTGTTCATGGCTGTTCCAAGTGTCATCGGTAGCTGTATTTTGCCACACCCTCAGGCATTTGCGCGTCCCTGTCATTCATGTTGCTGATATGTGGCTCAGCGCAGCCGAAAGCACATCGCTCGCGCCAAGAATCCTGATCGTACAGTCATGCCCTTTCCAACAAGTGTTTATACAGCTCACATTCATGCGCACCCGCTCTTGTTTTGCCACATCCCACTGCCTAAGTGCTGATAACGTAAGTGTTTAAGTCAGACTAGCCATGCTTAACCCTCGTTTGAAAATGATAGACATTGACCTCAGTGCTGGCTTGATTCTTGAAAGAAAATTGGACTGTTTGACAGTCTGTGTTGGGTGTTCCTTTTTGCCCAAAACATTAGCTTAGGCTAGGGCGGCTTGCAAAGAAGTTGGCCTCCATTGCTTTATGCCCTTGCATGAGAGCTCTATCACTGAGCGAAACAAGGGGCCGAGTCGACCAGTCAAGGCCAGGGCACAGATTTGTCCCAGGTGCGAAATGGCAGGCCTTGATGAGGTGTACCTGGATCTGACAGATGAGGCAGGGGAAGTAGATAAGTTGGCTTGCACCCTGTTTGAGCAGATCGTGCTTATGCGGTTGCAGCAAAGTGGCGACTGGGCTGCCGATAGGCCCGAAGCAGGGCCATTGCAAGATTGCTCTCTTGCTCTCTATCTCTCTCTCACTCTCTTTTCTCCCTCCCTCCCTCTTTCTCTCTCCTTGTCTGCCCCTGTTCGCTACGAGTCTCATTCGCACTGCCATTCATGCTGTGCTGTGGACATATATAAACAAAAGGTAGCGTCCACAGGTTGCATTGCCCAGCAGTTGAGGTCACGCCATATTCACAGGGAACCCACACAAACCCAAGGATTGGGAAGGGTTTGTCGCGAGTGATGCTGCACCTTGCACTGTGCTCCAGTTTCTGTCCAACTGGTGGGCCGGCCAAAACATGGGTCTGACCGATTGTGTCTTGTTGATCTGTGCCGTGGGTTAGAACGGAACCACTGCTAGCTAGAACGACAGGCTGGGAGGTGCTACATGCTGCTGTCATCAAGAGGCTTCTGTCAAACTTCCGCCTATCCAAAAAGGTTGTCCACTGTTTCATTTCATCCGTTCAGGTTTGCTCACTTTCACAAGTCCCGAGCAGAAACCTCGTGGCTCAAGTCCAAAGGAAGCCAGCCAGAGGGGTCTCATCATGCGCCAGCGCCAGTCGCAGCCCCTTTCCGGCAGGCTGCGCAGCGCTTAGAGTCAGACGCCGCCTCCCTCGCAGCGAGTTGCGTGGGGGACCGAGTTTCACAGACCTTTGGTTGAAGCCAGGAGACATGTGCCGGGTACTACATGTGCATAATATGTTTGCTGTGTGTGTGTATAGTGGCATGTTTGCATTACAACAAGCGGCGGAATAAGTTGAACCAGTCCGAATACCAACTTTAAGGCATGCTTCCTTCCAGCATGAACCAATTTGCGGGTTTGGCATATACCCAGACCCCTGGGTGCCCGTTTGGCTAGCTGTTAACGCTCAGCAAATTTGCGAGTCGTTCATTTATAGGGCTCCGTATTTTGTGTTTTGAAATAACAGTTTGGATTCCTTACATGTGGAAGTTTCATGCTCGCAAAAGAGTAGGCTGTTGACAGATCATGTGCATGGAGTGATTCGTATACAACGTGTGGCAAGGGCAAATGTGTTGTGCGTCTGCTCTGCGACCAGGGAGGAAAGAACAAACCAGTAGATGGTACTGCTTAACTGACTGGCTGCGGCAGAGCAGAATCAACGCCAGCTTGAGGTAAAACGCATTTCCTTTGCGGTGTTTGCCCAGGAAGACTCAGCCTTCCGCAAATAATCTTCTGCCCACGGCATGAAGCGGGCATTTTTGTGCCAGCATTGGCTGGGGCATGGAATGGTTGGGCCGCAGAAGGAAGCCTGCAGGTGATCATCCTGAAAGGCTTTCCCAGATTTAATCCAGAAATCTGCAGCCGGGCGTGGAACACATTATCCAGGTTGAGGCTTGCTTCATTCGGGATTCACACGGCACAGCCAAAGATGCCGAGGGTAGATCCTGAATGCAACAGTTGCGTTCCAGGCGTATAGTGTTTATTGCTTTGGTCACAATTGTCATGCCTCATGCAAGAGGCACCAGAATACAACATGCATAGCGTGCCAGGTATGTGCAGGTGAAGCAACTGCAGATGCAGCGGCGGCAGCCTAGCGGCAGACATCGCATTCGGAACTGACGGCACGTCACTCTTGGCCGCGCACAAATGTTAATTCTGCTTTGAGCGTAGAAGAGACGTTAGGTAACTTCAAGTTCGGACCAGCGCTTGTTTACACCTTCATGGGGGTGTTTTGGATGTTCAAGAGCAACTTCCATCAAATGGAACAGTTGACGATGCGTTTTACTGCTGACCAGCTGGTCAGTGTTGGCCAGAAACTAGTGATTGACGAGGAGGAGAGAGAGAGGGAAATAAATGAAAGCAAGCAATAAATAAGGAAAAGAAAGAAAGGACGCAACAGTCAATAAAGAAAGAGATAAAGCAAAGAACTGGATATTTATCCATCAATTAATCAAGAACACGCATTAAGAAGGACATAAATAGCAACACAGATACAACTAAAGACAAATAACGGAGAGCTGCGCCAAGGACGGACATTTGCTCGCGGCCTGGGACATGGTTCAGCATCTCCGCGATGACATCTTAGCAGAGACAGGAGCCGAGCCTCGCCTCGCGAGCTGAGTGAGTGATTTAAGGAACATGTGGAAAGGTTCGGTCCGACATATCCGACCCTTCCGCATGTTTTGCGGAGCATGTATCGTTTGTTTACCAGACGCACTCGGCACGTGCGGAGAATGGCAGCGGTTCCTGACGGCAGGGAGCTTAAGGCTTTCATGTATATAACTGTATATATGTTTGGCGTTGTGTGCCAGCCAGCTGTTGGAGCATGTCACTTGATCCGCAGGATTCACCGCCAGGGCCTCAGAGCGTACACTTTTCAGCTGGACATGGGGCCTTGTGATGTGATGGTAGGATTTTTTGGACTCCACACTTGCAACTGCGCAAAGTGTGCCTTTCCACCCAAGGGGCTTTGAAGATTAGCACCTTCCGCCTGTGCTGCTGAAGAATGGAGTGGCTTGCTGCCTTCATAGAGATGGCTGGACTTGCGTTTTCAGTATTGGCGCCGACACTGTCAATGTGCAGGTTTCTGCCGGTATAGCTGGCAGCAAGCTGGTTGCGAAGTTGGCTTCCGCGTGCGCTGCGCTCAGTTTCCGTACCAAGCTGTTTGATGCGCTCTGATTTTACGGGTTTTCTCCCAACCCTCAGGTGTACCACTGACTTTTCCAGATCGTCTCCGTGAGCCCAAGGTCATAAGCCCAATCGCCAGACCTTGGTGCCTTCAGCAGGCCAGCCCGGATGGTGTTTACGGTGGGTAAGCACCTGGACGTATTTGTCATTGAGTTGCTGCCATTGTGCTTCTTTTTTGTGGTGGTTTTCAATTGGCACCAATAGATGGAAAGTTGCTCTCGGGGTTCTGGATAGAAACCCTAGAAAAGTCCTTTCTGGGATTTGCCGCATGGCGTGAAGCCAGGAGTTTTGCCTTTCATGGCCTCCGTCCAGTTGAAGGACCTGCTGCAGCCTCAGTGGACTCAGCTCGTGGCACGCACCCGGAGCCGAAGATTTGGGAACCCGGAAGAAAGGATGAATCGGGGATATGGGGGGAGCACCCCTTTTTTGGTGGGTTTTAACGGGAACCAACAGGAAAACAGCCATTTTGGGGGGGTCCCCTAAAAAGAATCAGCACCCCATATAAGATTGTGTCATTCGGCTCCGGGCCTTTCGGCTGAAGCCGGTATAACACATTTGGATGTTGGTGTTCGTCATTCCGCTCATGGCTGGGAAATGAATTTGTAGTTTAGCAGACGTTTGGTCTTCTGTTCGCCTGCTCGTATGATTTATCACTGTGTCATGGCCGGGCAGTTCTTTCTGAGGCGACTTGGGTGTGTTCATGCCACGGTGTCTTGAACGGGATATTGGTAAGGGCATTCAAAAGGGGAACCAAACGCAAATCACCAGTTGTGGGCTCCCACTTCATTCGCGATGGTGACTTTGTGCTGCATGGTGCGATGCTGCCAGGCCGCCGTTTGAAAGCATTTTTCCTGTACAGCAGACATGCGGCATGGGCTGTGACAACTTAAACCATTGAGCTGAAATAGCCAGCATTATTTCACAAGACTATGAGACGGCAGTGAAGTGATCCTTCTGCAGGATGATGAGCGGCTGGTGAAAGAGACCACGTGTTCATGTGCAGTGATTGCAGAACATTCACCTTAGAACCTTAGGACTGAGGACATCATTCACACGTCAAACACCAAGCCCCCTATTGGGCTCAAAGCCCATATTCAGCTCTGCGTGTGTTGCTTTTCGTGCGAGCAGCGCAGCTCATGGTTGCCCCCAGTCGGTATTTGCTGGAGCAACAGCTGGAGAAGCAGCTGCGTCAGCGTACTGGCCTCTCTGGGAAGCAGGGCTGCTTGACCGCACGGTACTGAGCTCACCCTGGGGTGAAAACGAGCTCACCGGGGGTGAGACGAACCCACTGGTGAGACTCCTGACCTGGATTCCTGATTTCCAGTTTGTGTTCTGACTTCCAACAGCCATCTAACTTGCAACAAGGGTGGGACGCCCAGCCTTCGGATCGCTGGATCGCAGGCCTGCATCCTGTGCCGAAGCCCTTCTACCGCCAGAGCGAGGCCCTGGATGCCTTGCACAAGCCGCTTGGAGAGACGTTCGGCACCGTGGAAAACGCAGACGCAGAAATGGCTGGGTCAAAAATGGGTACCCAACATGGAACCTTGGTAAATGGAACCAAGGACTAAACCCTGCGGTCCAATTCCTGGTGGCTAAACTTTGACCCATACCCAAACAAGGGCTACGGTTTTTGACAAGGGGCGCATGAAGTACCCTACATGCCGTCAGAGGATGGACATGCAGATGTTGATCGATTATTCGGTTTGGAGGGAGAAGGCAATGCCATATTGGAAGCACATGTTGCATTGGTAGGAAGTGCCACTGGCAACGCGCCTGTGATCCGTGATGTTTCGTACGCGTGATGGTCCGGGAACATTGCCACTGTTGTTTTGTTGTTGGCATGACCACTTCATGCACGCTTGCCCCAGGTACGCTTGCATGTCTGGTTTCTGGAGGCCAAATGTGGTAGGATCTCAAAGGACTAGAGCAACATCAAGTTTCGCTGAGGCTTACGGAGGATGTGGACTACACTCCTTCCCAGGCTGGGTGTCCCAGCTTGACAGGCGAAACTCACTGTATAGTCATCCCCTGCCTTCTGATTGTACGTGTGTGTCCACACCGTCCACGCCTTTCTGCCTTAGTAAGTCTCAGAACTGTTGGCAAACCACCGTGATGGCTGCTTTGTGAAAGTCAACCTGGGTAATCCACAGCTACAAGCATGATGAGAAAGGGGAACATTTTCGTCGGCTTCTCACATCATGCGCTGAGAACAGCTGGAAGGAAGTCGTTTTCATCCGCCAAAGTGCCTTGCACCTCACGACTTCCTTGATTGCTCCTATTCAGCGATGATGATAAAGCGTTTGTATTATTTCGTCATAGGCTTTTCAGGCTTTCCCTGTCTTCCTTAATGCCTTCCCAACTTGTTGATTGTTTGATATCGTGTGGCCGCAATCGACGTATTGTGAGGCAGGTGTCCGACTGAACATGCATATTTGTCGAAGCTGCCAGGGTCATTCGAGCCTACCAACAGCTGCACATCCAAGGTTTTGGGAAAATTCCTGTCTCATGGAAATCCTGCAGCTGGAAATCCGCAGTCCTGGTTTTCTTTGGAAGGCTCCGTTCAACCGGTCCCATGAGCATGGCTTCGAGGTGGGGCTCTTCGCGCAGGAGCTGGGCGCAGGCGGCAAACGGAGGCGGGGGCGAGCGCTTGAGAGCCACAAAGTGGCTGGAGAGTTGGGCCACGTGCGACTCGGAAAGAAATGTGAAGTGGCAAAAGGATAATTTGGACAAAGACCAGGGGCTACAATGCAAGGGTTGCATTGCCAACTTGGAAGCCAAGTGTCTGGTTGTTTTTCCCAACCCAACTTGGGTTGGGTGCTAAGGCCCCGAAGGCCCCGGTTGGCTCGCAGGTTCCTGGTGAACACCTTTGCGGGCTTCGCGTTGGAGAGGGCGCCCCGCTCCTGGCCGCAGGATGACGAGCCCTTGGGGAATTTCTACGAGGCTTGAGCTAAGAATTGCTCTAGGGGGTTGACCCCAGAAGCGAAACGTGAATTGTGTTTTTGGGCCGTATTTAACAAAAACCGGCCCCTTCATGGCCATGCAGAACTCGGCAACCTTGCACTGGTAGCACTGAGGACTTCAACGAAGCAAGACGCGTGTTGCTCATGTGGAACGACATGGACTGTAGAAGGAGCAAAAGGAAAGTATTAGTTTCTTCTTAGGTATGTAGAAAGGTAGCAGCCTTGAGGCTTTGATGGAATACAGGTTTGCTCAATATACTACAATCACCGAGCCCAACGTGTTGATATGTTGTGTATGTGTTTGTGTTGCATGCGACCAAGAGGTGAAGGATATTCAAGGTGTCATGCGCGTGCTCAGCCAGCGCACGGCAGGTGATCCAGGAAGACAGACCCTGCTGGTTTTACTTTGACCTGGAGTACTCTCGAGAGACCAATCCACATTTGGATGCTGATATTGTCATGGCAGCCTTCCGGAAAACATTGGAGCCTGGGCAAGACTTTGTGAAAGCTTGGGTATCCGCCGGTTTCGTCGGCGTTCCTCATTCCCTCATCTTCGAAGCGCACGAGATACTCAAATCATCATAATGCAATCCATCGAATTCTGTAGCCTGTTTGTTTCATCCTTTTCTGATCGTTATTTGTATCTCTCACTGTCTCTTTTGGTTTGAACGCATTCAATTAACTAAAATGAGCATATCATAGTCTGGCAAACAGACACTTCAGTTGCTGAACTGCAGGTGATGTGCAGGATTTGTTGGTCTGACTCTTTTGTCTCCGAGGCCCTGGCGTTCGATTCACATGCCGAGGCGTGTTTCTGCCGGGAGGTCCTGCAGGTGGACCTTGACGTGACCAGCGTGCTGGAGATGGAGTCCTCCACTGAGCGGAAGTTTTCCAAGCACGTCATCGTGAAGCGAGTGCGCCCCATGGTTGTTGTTTGGACACATTTTACACTTTTCTTATTGTGGTTTGGCGTTGTTTGGAAACATTTTACATATTTGCTTGTTGTTTAGCATTGTTTGGACACATTTTACATTTTTGCTTGTGGCTTAGTGGTTGAAATCCAACCACCTAACTGCTAAAAAATCGATTTGTGCTCCCCGTCCAACGTCAACCAAGGCCCCGCCTCTGGAGAGGTGAGAGCCCTGGCCTTTCCGAACAACGCCCAGGCGGGGCTGCTGGTGAGTAGCTTGGTCCAGTACGCGGCTCTACATCGCGCAGATGGCGGCGACGCGCTGTTTGTCCAGGCGCCCAAAGCGGATGACGGCCAGGAACGAGAGGTCTGCATCATCGATGAGTCTGTTTACAGCAGAAACCGCTCCTTTCGCCTTTTATTCCAATCCAAGTTTGGAAAGAAGCGACGCCTGGACTTAGATGCGGGGTCAGCCAAGCTAGCCTTTGGCGTGAAGCCGCACCCTTGCTTCGCCTTACTGGAGACCATGGCAAGTTTCGTTCCAGACGGCACTGAGCTCTTCGAGCATGCGTTGATTCCCAGGGGCTTTGCCCACATGCAGGCAAAGGCATCAAGGAGCTCGGTGATTCGGCACAAGAATGGCTCAGTGCAAGCAGAGTGCGATCCATTGCTTAATTACTTGATTCGCGTCTGGGATGATATCCGCCGGTTGAACGACACGTCTCCCATGCCTTTTGAGCCCACCAGTGTGCAAAGCTGCGTGGAGATGGATGAGCGATTTCTGACAGTGACCTTGAACAACAATCGATATTGCTTCTGCAAAGGAGACCGGCTTCTGCAATGTCAGGGTCATGCTAAACTGCAGATGTCCATTGCTCGGCCTGACTGTTTGGTCCAATTGTTTGCATATTCCAGGATTGATTTGTTTGAACTCCCAGAACCAGTTGCTAATATTAAAAACGCAATCAATTTTCCTGCAAAGACTGGGATGAATGTTCTGCAAAGTGCCATTTCCGTCTTACTCGATTGTTTGCAAAGAGGCTAGCGTGCAGAGTAGAGCGTTGTGTCATTTATTGGCTGTTCATGTTGCAGCGCAGGAGCCTCTCACAAGTCCAACCACATTTACCTGGTGGTGGATACACAACAGGCATCCTTCCATCAGAGACTCTCTGCATTTGCACAGTTTTGGAAGGAATAGTACTTTCACATCAGAATGTGTGCAAGAACCAGATCTTTCGGAGTACTGGCTGGATGATGCCCTTCAATCTTAAGCGCTGGCGGCATGTGGTGCTAAGGAAGTGCTTTGACATTGCTTGTCGGCACTATGCGTCGCCTCCCTTTAAGATCCCTTGCTGGATTATCGACACAAGTGCCGAGGACACGTGTCACAAGATGTCGGTAGCATGAGCAGTGAGGCTGAATGAGTGTGCAAGTGATGCTAGGCTTTGAGGACTGGCAAATCCATGAAGAGGTCATCCACCCTTCTGACCAACCAGTCTCTGTTGGCTTCAAATTCCAGTGGGAGAGTTGCACCGCAGCTGGAAGCAACGATGTAGAACTTTACCTCAGGGACTCATTTTTTCGCTTGTTGCTCCAACCTTTGGGACGGTCTGAAAGTGGTTCTTGGGCCATAGCCTCTAAGTGGTGTGTGGCCTCGGGTCAGCCAAGGGGAACATACAAGGAGCACCTGAGGGATGAGCACAGCAAATGGGCTCCCCTCGTTTGGCCAGCGAAAAACCGGGCTGTGGGCACTCCATGAGGAGGAGGAGTTCTCGAATTTGATCAGCGCCGGTGGGGATGGATTCCAGGCAGGATCTGCTCGGTACAGCTTGCATACATGCGAGTTCACAGGAGCAGAGCGGGCCGCTCTGCATGTAGCTATGTTTGGAGGAGCGTGTTGGGCAACTGTGCGCTAGGCAAGTAGAGGAACTTGGTGGGAAAGAAGTTGGGAAGAGAAGGAAGTCAAATGACCAGGAAAGACCAGCTCAAGGATATCAGGAGTCTTGCATCGCAGTGCCAACAGCGGGCCAGATGCACCAACAGTTTGTTCCTTTGCGTTTTGCCAGGCAACGGCCACAACTCGTTTGCTAGTTCTGATTCCGCCAGGTCGCAGACGTTGCAGACGTGCCGCAAAAGCGGATGCGAATCTCTGAGGGCGGCGCCTGACGTTGCACGCGCGGGGAAAATGACAATGACCTCTGCATGTTTGATTCTCATGGCACGAAGGAATCCTCTTTCGAGGACGCCTTTCTCCAGGTGTTTTTTGCTAATTAGAGTAGCTTCAAGTACTTTGATGGCACCAAGGAATCTCCTTTTGAGGGTCCCTTTTTGGTGTTCCATGTGACTTGTTTGGCAAAGTATATTCAAGTACTTTTGGCTGAGATAAGGATGAGCCGCGGAGAAGCCGTTGCGGCTCAGACAGAGGGCTGTAAAGAGATGATTCCATTGGCATTTGCCTTCGCTTGCCTCGCAGTCGCGAGGCAGGCCACTTCTCGCGAATTCATTCCAGAGCTTTGACTTGTTTGGGGGGTTGGGCAAAGATTCAAGATGCTTGCATGGAATTGGTAGGGCTTTGTGGTGCTGCTTGGTTACTCTGCGCTTTGCATTCAAAACTCGCAAAGTGCAGAGGCCACTTTGCCGTGAGGTCGTACAACGTGTCCTCCTGGCCACCAGCAGACCTCTACTGGGACGGCCAGTGCAAACCCTGCCCTGCCACTGGGACAATCTGTGATACTCTGTGACGACAGTCTCAAGACGGGTGTGAACTGATATGACAAACGTAGAGCGAATCCCATTGTGTTTGCCATTTAAAGCGTCTCTTGTTCATTCTGGTAGAAGACAAGTGCATCTGCAGGTGATAGGTGGGAGCATCTCGAGGATGTCTACGCTGAAATCATGGTAGACCATATTTGAATCGGCTCAACAAGTCTGGGGTTGAACGATGACTAAGGCCATCCTTTACCCGGATGATCACTGCTCCCAGGGAGGCGTTCTCGTGGGCGAGCGCGGCTGCGGTGTTGCATTTTGCGAGGGTCAATGTGCCTAGCCCGCCTTTGGTGCCTACGTTTGACAAGGTCGGAATTGACACGCAAGAACAATTGGTGACATCCAGCTAGTCAAGCTGAATGTCGCAAGTTGACAGATTGCGTTTTTCGTTGGCGAACGACTATCTGCAAACGTTTATTGCCCCTCCGTGATCAACAGCATCCCTTCAACCGTCGTGACGCTTCCCACCCATTCCCACCCACCCATTCCCCACCCATTCCCGCTCACCCACCCAGAAGGCTTTTCAGGTCAATAGCTGCTGAAGAACTGTCAACTACTTTGAAGCTCATGTGAGCGACTGCCTTTGCTTACAGAAGGCAACAGTAAAGGCTGGGCGCAAACATGTTTTGTGTCACATGCTGAATTAGGTGCAAAACAAGGTAGGAGCAACCTCAAAGCGAGGTAGGGCTATGACATATAGATGGTGGAAATCAGAAACACACTGTGTCGTTGGACAACGAAGTCAATGAGTCCGAACGGGTGCAATTGGAGAATGAGGTGGGAACACTATGCAAAGAACTGACGTAGCTCAGTACGCATTCACAGAAAGGGTGTTCTGTTGTACCGTCTTTGTCACATTATTTGCTGCTGCTCAGCAGGGAATGAGGGAATGACCCCTATAGACCATCCCTTGTGGCTTCCTTCAAGGGGACCCCTGATTTTATTGACACATTTCCTACTGAGCACCAGTAGTTAGGAACAAGTGGAGACACGGCAGGCCTTGCTCGCGCTCAGGTACAGTGCCAGACCTTACGGGCGCGCCAGAGCCGGACTTCTACTGGGACGATCAGTGCACGGCCTGTCCCGCCAGGCTGTGCCTTGCCTTAATGTGAGCAGTGACTCACAAACTGTGGGACCTGAAAGGCTTGGTTCCTGGAGGACGCCCAACCTGTTGTTCATTCATGATATGAGTTGACACGCCATTTCCGACATTTCAACAGTCAAGGCACTGGGTCCCTGGGTTCTTCTTGACGGTTTGTGGTCTTGGAACAAAGCCGAACGAAGCCAAACGAAGCCAAACGAAGCCAAACACGAAGCCTCATTTCGCGCAAATTGTGCTTTGTGGGTGTAGTCAGAACAGGCTCAGATCTGGGGCCGTGTGGCCGCTTGTAAGGTTGCTTGAACCCAAACTGCAACTGGAACAAAGCGCGAATTCTAGGTCTGATGTCTCAAGGGATTCGCAGCGGCTGAGCGGTGTTTCAAGCTTGTGGCAGCCAGATGAATGGCACCAGGCTATCCATTTAGCCACAAAGATATGCAGGCAAGAGTCAGTTGACCTTAGAAGAGAGTAAGGCCTGCGCGCCCAACTTACTCTAACATGAAGGCAACTCGTCCGAACAAGGCTTGCAGAGCTATTTCATTTCAAGAATGCATGCTGCGGAGTTGGAGGTGCCCCATTTGAATCATCACGGAATGCATACGATTTCTGAGGTGCCCCATTTGGCATTGGTGATGTGCCAAAGCCTGCAAATGGAAACCTCGCCATTTTCCCTGCGCAAATTGCAGGTACTCGAACCAGCACTGCGGCCGGGGCGGCCGCATCGTAGAGGAGCGCGCTTGCGGCCCGGCGAAGGCGCACTGCGAGGCCAAGTGCCGGCTGCCGCAGTCCACGGCCTCTCCGCAGCCGGAGCCGAAGCAAACACGCCCATGGGTCAAAATCCAATCCGTAGCCCCAGTGAACATCCCCCACGAAAATAGGTTCTAAAATTGGTGGTGAATGCACCTACCAACCAAAATGGGATCCATTAGTTTTGACCCACAGCCACATGGCCACGAGTCGGGGATGGCCAACGGGGATGCCCCCAGCTAGGTGCCCTTTTGCCGTTCCTTTTTTGGTTGGGAGGGTTGCCCTGCTAAAATCGACTACAGAGAAAAGTTGGCACCCTTGGTCTCTCCTCTCTGCTGGAGGACCTAGCCAATGGGGATGGCCAGTCTTGGTATCTGGGGGGGTTGATCAAAATGGGTCCGATGAACGTGGGAGGACCATTGGGGGGGGGGGGGGGCTGGAACGATTTGATATTTGGGAAGAGTTACCCATGGTCATTTGCCAGGAATATTGATCAACCCCCATTTATAGAAACGGCTTTGTGCCATGACCTTGTCCTCGGCCAGTTATTGCGTGTAGTCATGGATAGAAGAAGACCCCATCGGATCAGGGGCTGTCGGAGCTCAGGAGTCCTCTGCGGAGAATGGGACTGTCCCCGCCAATGTAATGGGGATACAAAGAGATCACTGCAGCATGGAATGCCCATGGTTGATTGGATGAAGCACGAATTGGCAACCTGAGAAAAAATAAAGCATGTTCTCTCAGAAGCATCAGTAGTCAATCTCAGAACCAGCCGCAAGCGAACGAAGCGAAAGATATGTCAATGCAGTTTGTGTGTGTGTGTGTGTGTTGTTTGCCCATTGTAAGACATACCAGCCCGTTTGTCCATGCTACGCTCAAGGTTTTAAAGATTCCCTTCTGTAGCTGGGACCTGCACGCCTGCACGAGCTGCACTGGGCCAGGAGCTTTACTGGGACGGCCAGTGCAAGGCGTGCCCGGCCTCACTCTACAGCCATTGCTCCCGGGGGGGAACTTTGGTGGGCGAGCGGGGCTGCGGCTTCGCGAACATCTTCTGCGAGGGCCACTGCCAAAAGCCGGCACCAGCACCAGAGCCTGCGGAGCCTCTGATGGCGTTTGCCCCGCTGTTGTGGTCCTGGTTTCATGCTGGCTCACCAAATGCGTTCACGCAAGCCGGCGCTGCGTTGGTTACATGGTTGGATGATGTACAAGCACCCTCTGGGCGACAGAAATCAGCATGGTGCCGCAGACTTGCGCAGAATCTTCCAGACCCCCAGTGCCTATGTTTCCCCTTTCCAAAGACAAAGCCCCCATATAAAGGCGCAGATGTCCATTGTATCACAGAAGTGGGGCCAAACCCCTAGTGATCCCACAACCCTGTTCCAAAAAGGTTTCCCTTTCTTGATGGCTCCCAGCCATCCCCTTAGCTTTTTAGCCTAGTGTCTAGTGGAGATTTGCATCTAACCCACCACAAGTTCGCTTGTAGCGGATCCGAAAACGGACAGCTTTGAGCCCAAGACCTGCCGCCGGATGGAGGACTGGATCATCGTGGGGGGCGGCGCCTCCGGCTGCGCAGCTGCGGCCGCCCTGGCAGATGCGGGCGAGGAGGCGGCGAGCGAGCGGGCGCCGACCGGGGCGTTGCGAGAAAATGGGCCTGTCATTTATTTTCGAGGCGACACATTTTTTGGGATCTGATTTAAAGCAAGACTAAACAGAAACCCACCCCCTTTTGTTTTGTTCTTTTTGTTCCCCCTTTTTTTTGGGCGGGGGGTGCGCTACATGTGTTGGTGGGCTTGTGGGTTTGCTTGAGATCAGGAGTCGCCAGGTGTGTTTAGGAGTGGGCATGAATGGGCATGGAATTGACTTACTCGGACATGTCAACGCAAGTCAACAAGAAGTTGTTGATGTGGCTGGCAGGGATCGGCAAAGACCAGTAAGGATTGCCATAGGAATCAGCCCTCTGAAAGAGGATGTTCGCGTTTCTACCAAGCCAGCGGATTGTCGATGAGTCCATTGACCAGTGAGGGCAGATTGATCTTGGCCTGCCAGCGTGAACATTGGCCACCAGCCATGCCAATGCGAAATCGGCGAAAGGCACACAAGCAAACATCTCATGACTTTGTGTTCCTAAGATTTTGGCAAGGAAATAAGATAACATGGACATAGAACGACACAGACAACGACAATACATTTAGAGCATGCTCAATCTTGGCGCCAGGAAAGTTTATGCCTTGCCTTCGTTTGTCATTTCAGCAGACCTTGGGCGTTAACAAGCCTCCAAAAAGCATAAACAATGTGCCGCCGAATGGACACCACAGATGTTGATTTCCCGATCCTCTTTTTGGCTAAGCAGCTGATTCAGGAACCGGTGTTTTTTTTTACTAGCCCCGGCTCGGGGCTTAACCCCGGCTCGGAGACTGGTTCGCTGGTTGGTTGGATGGTGGGTTGGTTGGTTGCTTGCTTGCTTGCTTGCTTGCTTGGTTGCTTTGGTTGCTTGGTTGCTTGGTTGCTTGGGGCCGCATCCCCAGCATCCCCAGCATTACCGCTTTCTTGTCACGGCTGCATATGGGGCATGACTTGATGCTCGGGATAGCCGGCTGCATCGCCAGCATTGCTGGCCTCACTCGGACGAGAGCTGCCTATTGGCTTTGATTTGGTGGCAGTTCAGGGTTGATCGGGGCTGGTTTGGGGTGAGTGTTGGGCTTGCTGAGATATTAATGCGGGCGGGTCTTGGGTTTGTTTGGGGTTCATTTAGCCTCGGCAAAGGGCCGATATGCAGGATGCGGTTGGGAGGGTTTCAAGATGACCTCGGGTCGGTTTTGGCTTGGTTGGGGCTGATTCGTGCTAGATGTGCGGCTGGTTTAGCCGTTGCTTTCGGGTTGCTTCAGGGATGTGGTTCTGCAAGTTTTGGGCTAGGATTGGTGGTGGGGCGTTGCAGCCGTGACAAGAAACCGGTAATGCTGGCGATGCGGCCACCAACCCCCAGCCCAACCTCTTTGGAGGGAGGCCTTGTGCCGAGCCGGGGCTAGTAAAAAGCCGGGGCTAGTAGAAAAAAAAGCACCTCAACCAGCTGATTCAGGAAAGGCTGTGTCGAGCCGGTCTAGGCCTGACAGAGCTACTAAACGTACTGTTTATGCATCCCGACAGTGTGGATTGGGATGCAGGTGCCACTAAGTTTAGTCAGAAAGTCTTTGCCTTTGGATTTGACTCCGCTTTGAGGGTGTGCACGCTGATCGAGCAAGCGGGGTCCCGGCTCCCGTCACTCGAACTTGAAGTATGCTTTTGTGATACATGACGAACATCAAGACCTCTTTGGCATGGCTTTTCCGATCGAAACCAATGCCCTTAAAACGAGTCATGGGATCAGGCCAAGTGGCTAGACGTTTTTGTCGGGGGCTCTCCTCGCACTGGTTCCGTGCTTGCTTCTGTTGCAGCATAAGAAGAGCAAGATGTCGAGCAAATACCTGTTGCAAATCCTTGAGGACTCGTTGGAAATAACCTGTGACCGTCCGATGGAGCCCCAAGGATCCTCAGACTTTCATCCATGGACGTGAACGCCCGTTTGCGTTTGAGTCCTTCTCCGGCATGGAGACACTCACATGGCTGTGGGTCAAAACCAATGGGATCCTATTTTGGGGTTTTCGGTGCACCACCCATTCTAGAACCCATTTTAGTGGGTGAATTGTGGGGTAGGTGAATTCACCACCCATTTGAGAACCTATTTGAGTGGTTGGATTGGGATGTTCACTGGGGGTACGATTTGGATTTTGACCCATGGCCACGTATCATCATCCCGCACTTTTGAGTAGGTGTTTTTCCTTTTGAGCCGCCAGACAGTCCTCCACCAAATTGATTTTCCAGCCAGAAAGTATGGAGGTGCTGGTGCTGGAGCGGGGCGCTTCCGACCTGGATCGCCCTTTGACGGAGTTTGCACACACCTGGCCCCAGGCGCTGACCTCGAGGTTTGGAGAAAGATGGACTGAGAGACGGGCTGAAAGTTAAAATTTTCGGTCAGAACGTGGAGACTTTGGGGTCTGAACATATTCACAAACCCTGGGGGGCCGATGCTGGCAAAGAGCTGCTTCAGACTTATGGTCAGATGAGGCAAGGCTGCACTGTGCGCTCCAATGTTCGCTGTGCGCTTTATCACGTTTCAGGCCATGTGCAGAGAGTGTTTTGCTTTTACCCAGTTATAGGAGTGGGATACGTGGCAGCATCCAACAACCGCTGTCCTTTGCAACTCCATTGGTCGGCGCCGATGCAGGGGCCTTTAGCAGAGGTCGATCAGTCAAGAGCCCAAATACAAGCCTTCGGCCGCCTTCCAAGTACTCAACCTCCAGTTAACCATGCTTCATCATGCTTCCAACTTTAAATGTGTCAAAATCTGGGGACGCCTTCCAGTCACTTTCATGTTACATATATGTTGCATTTCTGTTAAAGGACCCCGCTTCGCTTCCCACTGGATCCTACTTGAGTGTTTCTCACAATCAAGGAATCCCTGAGATGGTTTGTTCCTTTGGTATCCCCCTCGGACCATTTCAATGAGGCTTCACCAGTTGAGAAGCGCTGCAAGAAAGAGACATGCCCCCCCCCCTCCAGTATCATTGCCGCATTTTCTCCCCTTTTTTTCGCGTTGCCTTAAAATTAATTCATCCTTTTCGGATTGTTCACCCCTTTTCGGATGGTTTGAAAGGGACTCATCTGGAGGACACCGAGCGCCGCAAGTTAAGGGGCTGGCTGTTTCGCTTTTTTTTTCCTCTCGGCAGGTGGTCAACTCCAAGGCCGCGCAGCTCATCCGCTGGAGGGACGGCACCTGGGGGGCGGTGGCCAACGTCTTGGGCGGCGGCACAGAGATCAACGGGGGGCTCTACATCGAGGCCGGGCTTGGGTCACGAGGGGAGGGGGGAGGGGAGGTGGGGGCCGGTGGGGGAGGGCCGGTGGGGGGAGGGCCGGTGGGGGGAGGGCCGGTGGGGGGAGGGCCGGTGGGGGGAGGGGGAGGGAGTGCCACGAACATGATTCTGTGCAGCCAATCTTCAAAACCGATGCCCTGGAAGCAGGTTTGCAAAACATAGCCCCCACATGTATCCACACAAGGGGGGGGAGAGCAGCTTCTCAAAATTTGGGAGCCGGTTTTCTCTTGGTGTCCCTGTCCATGCCAAAAGGGGTAGCCTATTTTGAGAAGCGTGCAGAGGGAAATGGGTTGGATATGATGAGCCGATGCAAGTAGCAGCTGAAGAACACGGAGTCACATTTGGCAAGTGCATGACTTTGTGTGGCTGGACTGGGTTGGCAGGTCATAGAGTCCCGCTAAGGCTTTAGACAGTGTTTGGGGCCCTCAGACATCGCGACCATGGCATTCATTTTCACGGCGCGAGGAAGAGCCGGACTTCTTCAAGGAGTCCTTTGGAGAGGCCAGCTGGGCACTGGGGCTGAAAAGCGGTTGCGGTTCCTGCCTGACGGTCAGGTCACGCGGCATGAGCTGGTCAAAACGTGATCTCTACATGGCCTAGGGTAACCAGGGTGGCGAGTATATAATACTCTTTGATAGGGGCAAAGCCCCTCAGCAAGCATTCTTCTCACCAGCTTTCTGAGTAGCCGGTGTGCTTCTTTCCACATCAAACTGCATCGAATCTTTGCCTGTGCCAGACAAAACTGGCGCTCCAACTTGTCAGCAGGAGACGTCTTTTTCGAAAGCCGAGGTGGCCGAGTTGGCCGACTAAGTCGAACTAAAGAAGAACGGTAGGTCGAGCTCATGCATACGGGGCGATCCCAAGATGGCCTTGCACAAAAGATGAGCGAGTGTCCATTGTTTGGTGGCCCCAAAAGGTGATCCACCTCTTATTTCTGGGTCCAAGCTGGGCAACTGAGCATTGGGTTATTAAAGATATCCCGCATGGGGCCATGTGTCTGTTTCACACGGGTTGAACTATGTATAATAATATATATATATATATATATGTTGAAGAAAAGCAACCTGGCCTTGCCTTGTGTTTCATACATAAAACCACAAACACCACAACAAGCCACCCCCGTGGATTCCACGGGGACTTGGGATTTGTTCTTCAGGATCTTTCGTGGATTCCGTGAAGGGTTGGATTTGTCCAGGATTTCCAGCTGGAGGAGTTCTACAACAGCTCCTCCTGGGTGGCGCAGCGCCTGGCCGAGCCGCTGCAGGCCTCCCAGTTCGGCGCCAGCTATGCGGAGGCCCTGCACGAGGCTGGCGCCCCTTGGCAGTTGAGGGGGTGGGGACTTGACCTCTGCTGGGTTGGACCGTTGGACTTTCACCTTTTTTTGTTGCAGCAACCAAGCGAATTGTTTTAGGGTTGCCGCGGCTTGGAGGAGGCGAAAGGGAGAAGAGGGGGAAGAGAGGGAAGAGGAACACAAGCAGAGCTGGCTTGTTCTTTTTGAAAAAAAGGCATCCTGCCAATGTCATATCTGGGTGGGGACTGCCAGGGGCCAGCTCGAATGCAAGACGTCAATTCCCAAAGGAAGCCTCTAGAGTTCATTTTGTTTTTTTCCGTTTGGATATGTCTTCTTCTGTGCTCCACATTCATCAGTTCTGCGTGAAGCAATGGCTTGTGAAGTTGCCTGAACCACTTTATCCTCACAGGGGGAGCAGTACACATGAGTTGGGGATGTTTTGGAACAGCTCCAGAAACAACCGCTGGCACTTTAGTATGACAACCCTACCAATGGACAATGCCCAACACCTTCGATGACTGAGTTGAACCACCTCGGCTCAATGAAGACCACTCAAAAGCATCGAACACGTTTGATGGATTTCTTCAGCAAGAGACAGGTCACCCTTTGGATGAACCGGAAAGGGAAGCAACTCTATCATGAGCTTAGGACACCGAGGGGGGCCTTGGGGGCGATGAGAACCTGAGGCTGGCAGAGCCAAACCAAAGCCGAGCTTGCGGATGGTTGAGAATTCTTCCTGGGCCTTTCGGCAGCAACCGGAAGCCAAGGCGTGCGTTCAGACGAAAAGCACACGACCGGCATATGAGCGCTCATATGGCTGTGGGTCACAAATAGGTACCCAAAATGGCTTGCCCTGGTAAGTGGAAACATGGACCGAAATGTGCGGTCCCCTGTTGGCTTAGTTTTGACCCACACCACAAGTTTGCATACGAATGAAGAAGAGTCCAAGGCATGCTGAGGATAAGCCCTTCTGGATCAAAGTTTGCGGAGTTGCACGTCTTATGTTGGCGACAGCAAACAACCTCCTGAGAGCTCACCCGGACAGTGTCCAGTTGAACCAACTCTCCCCAGTTCCGCCACTCCTGTTGCAAATGCCCAATAGCGTGGATCGAGTCACTGGGCAGTGATTCAAGCATCTTGGCTCAAAACTAACTTACGTGACCTTGGTGAGTTCGAAACTCCGTTCAGAAACATATTAATCCCCATATATGTATGACTGGGTCCACTTAAGGCATCCTCAATATGTTATCCTGTCCTAGACGAGCCCAAGTCTATGAGGAGGCGAAGGGACGTGGTCAACTATGGCATAACTTGAGGTATCCGCTGAGGCTAGAAACCACCTAAGGACTTAGCTAGACACTTTGGTTCTATCAAACCTGCAGGAATTTCTACTGGAACTCCCAGTTTTTGGGTGTTTCTGTTGGCCAATCTCCTGTAGATTTAGGTCCCTTGTTTGCGGGTTCCTATGATATGCGCCGGTGGACGGCAGCGATAGGTTTCAGCCTGACTGACCGCCTGGCTGAGACTCGGCACGGAGCCTAGGTGGCCTACTCCACCTTCAACACCTCGGCAAAGACCTGGCAGAGGCGAGGCGCTGCGGACCTCCTCCACGAGCCACACGGCGACGCAAAAAGAGCTGGGGATCTGTGGCGGATGAGAAAGCAAACAGACATGTGTGATTCACACTGTGTGATATGTAGCCAACAAGAGGAAAAAACAACATGATTGGAACAAACACAGCGGAAACATGATGCTACTAGTACTCGCAAATGATGTGTATGCATGTATTATACACATCTATGTGTGATTTATGCGTGATCATTACGAAATAATTTCTTTGTTTCAATGAAGCGTGACCTCGCACATAGCCAGGACATGTCCAGTTTTAGGTGTGTTGCTCATCGGGCCCTCAGGGTGATATGTGTCGCACAGGCAGATTCTTGCGTATTGCGCAAGAGTCTCCATTTGCACACACAAGCGCACAAACACACATGTAGTACCAGGTTGACCTGTTGGACTTGCATGTCTGAGAACCCAAAGCCAAAGGAGATTCAAACCTGGAGCGTGCTTCGCTACTACATGTCTGCCCTGAGCCAACGTAGTGCAAAACCAAGGGTCATCCCCAAAATATGATGAACGTTCACTGATCAGTCCTCCAAGATGATCGGTCGCTGAAAGGAGAGATCGGAAATCAAAGTGCAAAATCAGCGCACATGTCCACAAAACGAGCGCACATATCCGCAAATGAGCGCACATTTTGAAAGCGTAGCAATTGGTTGTTCAAGGACCGCACGCTGTTCGAAGCATCGAGCAGAAAAGCTTCTCGGACACAAATGTTGCGGAGCACATTTTTTTGGTGAGAGCTGGACCGGATCAGCTTGCTCGCTCCAAATGGTTGGCTATTCCTGGGGTCCTGGGAAGGATCTTAAGGTACTCTTGCGCTGGCTTACACGGTGTCACAGCATGTGCAACCTCAGAGCCACTGCAGAGCCGGATCTTATGTTGCTTGGATAGCTTACAGTGTGGCTTAGGACGCACCACAGCGTGTCGACGCTTTGATTTCAGGCCTACGGTTCGAAAGTTGGATGAATTTGCTGGTGTTCAGGTTCTGCCTGGCAGGTGTCAGTTGCTGCTAAACTCCAGTGTTCGCCACATCCAACTGAAGGGGCGCATGCTCAGCACTTGTAGTTGCGCAACGCTATACAGTAGGGAAATTGCAGAAATCATACGGTCAGACCCCCCCCTTAAAAAGAAAGGGAGAGCAATGCGAAGAGTAATTTGGGAACAACGAGGTTCATGCGTGTTCTTTTTTGAATGAACCCACATCAAGCATCCCAGCCGTTAACAAAAGACTTGCTTCCCCCCACTGAAGCATGCAGTGATAGCTGTTTTGTAGGATGGGTTGCTGCGCAATGTAATGTCGCCATGTGCAATTGCACCGTTTTGGACATCGCACAGTTTGCATACTGCAAGTCCACAAGCCTGTACATCCTGTACCAACCAGTAAAATCGGCGAGAACAACAACAAACCCAATAAGCCGTTACGCATGTCTACCCACATCAAGCCAACGCCCATCGAACGAGCGCAATTTGCTGAGGGCCGGAAGCTTCAAAGCAGAAGACAGATGTTGTTTTGAGGCAAACACGAGTCACACAAGGGGCTTTAGCCCCAGGCTGCTTGATTTTCTGGGCCTTGCACACTTTGCAAGACCTGCTCAGGCGATCCTCCATGAAGAACCTCAGGTTCTTCACGGGTTACCAGGCTCGGCATGCCGGGGGATGAGTTCTGGCCGGTGCCGGAAAACAGCATCGAGCTCACCCGGGGCTAGAACCAGCTCATGATGAAAGTCCTTTGCGGGAGGGGGGGGGGGGGGATTTTGTTAATTTTAATTTGGCTGTGGGTCAAAACCAATGGTACCATCTCGGGGTAGGTGCACCAACCATTTTAGAACCTATTTGGGTGGAAATTGGGATGTTCACTGGGGGTACGATTTGGATTTTGACCCATGGTCATTTGGGAATCATAGTTTGGCCAGCGACCAATTTGAGGTGCTGAGAGTCAACTTCAAGGGCTCACGCGCCACCAGCGTCCTGGTGCAGAACAACTTTGGGCAGACGGTGACCGTGCAAGCCAAGACGCTATGCCTGAATCACTTTTTGCCCAATGCGTTTTCCAATCAAACCACCAAAAGTTAAACTTTCAGCAGGGCTTCGCAGATTTCGCCACCGAGTTGGGGCCAGGGGAATGCGACAAAGGCACGAGCACTGAAAATCAACATCCACCTGATCCATTCGGCGGGTCACATTGGCCCGTTTTGCACTGTGATATTTTGTGATGTGGCTGTGGTGGTCAAAACCGTTTTGGGATCCCATTTGGGTTTTCGGTGAAGTCACCGCCCATTTTAGAACCTATTTTAGGGGGGATCGGGATGTTCGCTGGGGGTACGGGCTTTTGACCCATGGCCATGTGACCAACACACTGGTACTTTCATGTTTGCCGCCCTTGAATAGTCATGTCATGAAAGTCTGGGCATGTGCAGCATGCACATATGTGAAGGTTTGAAAGTTTCATTCCCCTGAATTCAATCTTGCGCAGAATCAGGGCCTGCCGTTTTGGTTTTTGTTCGCCATGATTTTTCTGTCGCGCATATGAGCCACTCACACCGCTCGAGTGTTTCGGTGTCAGGAAGGGCGTGATCCTGGCGAGTGGCGCCATCTTCACCCCCCAGCTGCTGCAAGTCTCCGGGGTGGGCGACCCCAGGCTGCTGAGCAAGCTGGGGGTCAAGGAGGTGGTGGCCAACGAGCATGTGGGCCAGAACTTCGTGGACCGCGCCATCATGAACTTTGGAGCCTTGGACAAGTGGGACAAGTGGCCGTGGGTCAACACCAATGGGATCCCATTTTGGGGTAGGTGCAAGTAGCGAACGCAGATGCACGAATCTGGTGCATGTGAATGGGCCAGTGAGACCGTGAGACCCCTAAGCTTATGGTGACGGACGGCTTTGTTGACCAACGGACCGTTGTTGGTCGACTTCAGCGGCAAAGGCGGGCCGAGCGGCATGCAGCCGTCGTTGGTCATCAGTGAAAACACTTAGACTGCAGGTGGTAGTTTCCATTTTGGGCCCTATTTTTGAGCCACACCCACATGACACCATGATACGTGTGCGTTTATCGTTTCAGGGAACCCTTCAGTGGTAAACCAAATGTTGACTTTCTGTTTCTCATCGAACACTTCACATCAATTCGGCCTCAACACAGGGAACCGCACGTTTGCGATTGTTGTTCAAGCAAGATCCTTTAACAGTGAAAGTCCGTCGCGCCAAATGTTTGCGCTCGTCGCGCAACCGACACGTTGCATCCGCATAACATAAACATATGGCACCGGATGGTAATATGTATCATTTCAGGAAAGGCCTCACAAGGTATGGCACCAAGTGATTCTACTTTGCTTCAGTAAAGCCATTGCACCACGTGATCATGCTCTTCGTTGAAGAGAGCCCTTCAGCAGTGAAGACACATAGCACTGTTTGTTTTGCACGTTTGTTGCCCAACGGCATCAGTGTAAACAACTGGCGACACACGTGTTTGTTCTTCAAGGGAATTCAAGGGAAGCCCTGCTGCAGTGCAAACAAGAGGAACCGTCAAATTTATCGCTGTCGTGTTGAGTATTTGGTGTTTCATTGATGTTGTGGAAATGCACACAACAATGCCACACGATACGGGACTCTCAAAGATTTCCATGTCCGCTCAATGAAGTTAGGACATTGGAAAATAATGGCGGACTCGCAAACTAGGCAACGCTAGGACCCCATGTGAGTAATTTTCAACGTGCTCCCTCATGGCGCCAAATGTTTACGTTACAACGCAGTTTGGGCAGCAGACAGCTTGGCCTGCGCAAACTCATGTTGGGATTTGGCAGGTCGGCAAAACATATTATTATGTTTTTTTCGCAATGGGCCAACTTGTGGAATTGGCCCCATGCTCAGTTTTTGGTCCTGGACGAAATGCTTATTGTGAACCGCCCGGTGTTTGTTACCTGTTACACATTCTCGAAGCATGATTTCGAGATGCGATCAAAGTGGGATCTTCAGTATTCCCTTGTATCCGGATTCTTGTTTTGGGGTAACACACGGTGGGTTTACACATGGCTGAGCCAAGATGGTCAGCTTATAGTTAGTTGTTTTTTTTTTTTTCTTCTTCTTTTTCCGCAGGTCGCCATCAGTTGAGGCGTGTTCATTTCGACCGCTTCGCAGCTGAGGAGTGTGGTCCTCCCAGGATCGACCGCTTTACATCGGCTACGCCATGTCCTCCAACTCCACGTCAAAGATTACCATCGAAAGTGAAGGCGCGAACCCCTCCTTTCGAGTCGTTGGAGTCGAGGCATGGAAGCCAGGCCATGTGCCGCACAGTTTGCTCTGACATTCCGTACTTCTCGCCGCAGATTCTGCGTGTCTGTTTCGGGCTGGCAGGCTGGGGCAAGATCGCCAGCTCTTTTGCCGCAGTGTCCCTGGCTTTGTTCCCGCCGGATCAGCGAAGCGAAGCGATGCGCGCGACCATGGGGCCCCTCTTCAGCGGCCCAATTGGGAAGATGTTGGACCAGATGTGCCACGGCTGCACACTTCCCCTTCCAGCGATTACAGCTCGGGGTGAGTGTTGCTTTCGACTTCAGTGCTGCTGGCAGGTTGTTTGAGCCAAACGTGTAAATATTGTATCAGTGATGGAATTCCTTTGAGCGAGATGTTGAAGATTTTGCTGCCCAGACCTGCTTAATTACATTTGGAGAGGTAGAGAGGTATATGAATTGTTCTACGTTCGTGCTAGAATCAGAGCCAACTGTGCGTGTTGATGAGTGCATGCTTGGCAGCATGTGAACTTGGATCGTCAACGGGCATCAGTCTATGACTTACTAGCACAGAAGATGCCTTTGGCGCACATAGCTTTCGGCCACGACTTTGTTGCTTTCTTACAGCGCTAAAACCTTGTCTGGATTGTCTAGCCGATATTGGGAAGTTGGCCCAAGCTGGTGACGTGGGCATGCCACCCCACGCAGCCGAAGCAGCACACGTGTAAAAGTAAGCTTGAGCCTGTCACATTTGATGTGACAGTGTCCATGCAGACGAAATGTGTCATGCCATGTGTACCATTTGTGCCAGGATCAAACCATCTCATTGCTTGAGAGAGCAAAGTACTTCCACAGTCACTGTTTATTCGGAAGGCATGACCATGACTCGCCCTCTTGCATGTCCAAGGATCCAAGTGGTGGGTCTGAATCACAAGACCTACTCTCGCGGGAGTGTGGAGGCGAAATCTTCGAATGCGAGGGACACCCCGGAAGTGACGGCGAACTACTTCAAGGCAAGGCTCTCACGCTTGACGTGTGTTTGCTCGTTTTTGTCTTCACATCGGAGCCGGGGTAGAGAGTTCTAACATCCCGACTCTTTGCTGAATGTCGAAAGAGCTTGCCCAACATGTACATGTGTAATTATCTGTATATATATATATATCAAATAAGCCTGAATGTGTGGCCTGCAGCACGGTCTGGCCTTTGATATTTAATTTGGATCTTCATTTTTTACGCAAGTTCCCATGCCTGCAAGAGGTACTGCAAGTTGTATCTTTATGTTTATTTCCTTTGGTCGAATCAAATGTGCGGGCGCTGGCGGGTGGGCGGGCAGGTTCGTGCAAGTGGGCAGGCATGCCTGCTTGCGTGAGTTGGTCCATGCGGGCTGGGGGCGGGCTGGGGGGGGGGGTGTTTGCGTAGGTCAGTGCTTGCGTGCGTTTTTTGGTGGTGTATGATAATGGTGTTGGTGTTGGCGTTTGTTTGTGTGCGTGTTTTGGTGTTTGGCTTTGTTTCTTGTTGTTGTTTGTGTTTTTGTTTCTTGGGTAGCGTGTTTGTTTGGTTTCGCGTTTGTGCTTTTTCATCGGTATGTTTGTGTATTTGCTCGTGTTTGTGTTTGTTTGGGCGGGTGCGTGGGTGACATGTTATTTTACTGTGGGGTGTTCAGTTTTATGGAGGGCGGGGCCTTTTCGGCGGTACTGGGTTGGCTTGCGCAACTCGCCGCGCATGTTTGCTGCCCATTAAATTGCCATGCGCTGGTGGTATGGTGGCACTGCCTGCCTTGGGAGAGCAGGGGGAATTTGTGTGAGTTTCCGACAGTTGTTCCAAACGATGCACTTGTTTGGGAATTGTCAGCAGTGTAATCTACTTTGTGATGTGTCACATGTCTTGTGTAGATTTCCGTATGCACGGTGAACACAATACCTGGGCGACTTGCCAGGATGAGCGAGATATGCAGCAGCAATTCACCGCAATGGAAGCGCTGAAGGAGGTCATTAACTCCGAGGTGGGAAAGAACACCGTTTGCGCAAAGCACTTCTGGGGGACTAATCTTATACCCAACTTGTAGCTGTGTCATTTTCACTGCTATCTCGCCCTTTTTCCAGAGTTGAGAACATGGGCGCCCACATGCCAGGTAAAAATATGCAAGTGACACTCCACAAGAACAAGCAACCAACACAGAAGAAGCAGCAAAAAGGGGGGTGGCCTGGCGTAAACTTGGGGATCCCTCAGTGTTTCTTCGGCCCCGGGCGCGGTTTTTCTCGCAACTTAGGCCATGCAGCACCTGGTGAATGCCGATACCTTCAAGGGCGCGGGCGCTGTGGTCCCGGCACCTGGGGCCCAAGATGGACCAAAGAAAATGCGTGTCCCGGTGTCCCTGTTGGATCGGTTTGGCTAGACATAGACGGGTTCCACTGGCCTTGGTTTTACGCCCCAACCGGGCCATGGATGTTGGTCCAAATTGCTAGAAGAAGCCATGTAGGGCCTTTGATCCAGAAGGTGGCCAAGGCTTGTTATCAGAAACGCCGAGGTATCTCGGGGAAAGGTGAAGGTAACAAAAGAAGAATCCACAGGGGCGGTTTAGAAACTAAAGGGGGAATCGGGAATCTCTGCTGGCATCCCCTACGATATATCAGCGCAAGGGACTATCTCCGTTGTTCATTCCAATGTGTTCTTCACGTGAGAGGTCAGACATTTGGGTTATGAGTGGATTCCGGGCAACACAACTGAAACATTTGAAGACCAGCAAGATGATCATTGAGTTGTATGCTGTTGCTGCTAGTTTGCTCCACTCAGAGCAAGATGTGTTCCTGGCATTTGGCCTGACACCAAGGTGTACCTCAGCTGCCTGGATCAGGGACCGCAGACAGATGCCAGAGCCATTATCATCCCCTGTTTGCCGAAATCCGGCGCTTCCCGTGAGGAGTACGAGGAGTGATGACCAAGTTCGAGTGCGGGTTTTGGAGGGCGTTCCTGCAGGGTAATTGCAAATGCTGCGCGTTGCCCCGCCTCGGCCCAGCCGAGCGCGCAGCGTCTGTGGTTCGACTGCAAGCAGCAGAGCTGGTCAAGTGGCGATTCAGGAATGGACAGGTTTTGGCGTCGTTGGACCGATTGATGTCATGCGCAGGAACCGAAGTTGCGCAGGAATCCCGGAGGCAAGAGCAAGCCAATGCATAGGACGAGGAGTGGGTCATGGAGCCAAGAGTCAGTGGCGCTGCGGGCTGGGGCAGTGGATGCCATGGGCGGAAGTTGCGCAGAAAGTCTCGACAACCAAAGCAGAGCTGTGGTGATCAATGCACACAGCAGTCTTGATCGACTGTGTTGGCGTGGGAAATTCTCCGCGCTTGGGTCGGGCTAGGGAGGCCGCTGGGCTCCTCTCAGACACGCCAGACATGCGCTGGCTGGGTGGGTTATTAAGCCTGGTTGGGGTCAGCAACCCAAGCAGGCCAACTCAACCAGCAACCCACCCAAGACTTCAGGGCCAACCCAGCCCGCCCGGCCCGCCCAGCCCCAGGCGCTGGCATGGCAGACCAGGCAAGGCAGGCTTCAACCCTACACCTTCACGCAAGAGCGAACGGCCAGTTCTCAGTTGAGTTCGAAGCAATCGCATGGATTTAGAGTAAGTTTTGTGCGGCGCGGTGCTTGAAAGGGAATCGAAGAGAAGTTGGGCCGCCAGTTTCGCATCATCCAGACTAATTCGGCGACAGCTGCTGCGGATTCGTTGCGTGCAATAAAGTGCAAGGAGCACTTCAGGAAGACCATCGTGTCTTCCTATCACTACTTTGGTACTGCCTCCTTCGGGAAGGTTGTGGAAGGACGGGAAAGATGGGATTCAGAGAGATTGATCGCTAAAGTGATTCGCGCGTTTGGTGGATAAAAAAAAGCGAAGAAGCCAAACGTGTGAAACTCTGAAGTTGGAGGGTCACACAGGTGAAAGTTTTCTCAGACCCGGACAGGAAGTGAGTTCAAGGTCAAGGGCACCGACAACTTGCACGTGCCTTGGCGCACAAAGCCCTCCGACTGTTCCACTGAAAGCAGTATGTTCCAGCCAGAGAGCAGTTCCGTGGATGTTTAGACAGACAATGACTTGGGCAACATGACATGTGCTATTTTGGTCTTCCTGTATCATGCTGCATGAATTGTGAGTGACATGTTAAAGGGACATCATGGCCACTTTGATTCAGGTACAGGCAGTGCAAAGCGATTGTTCGGAGCTTCCTGGCAGGTGGCAGACGCGTCTATTTTTCCAGATCCCACGCGCAACTGGGCTTACATACGACCTGTACTGGCAACATTGCTTGAAAAGCGCTGTGTGAGAGAGAGAGAGATAGTTTAGCCGACTGAGTGCAAAACCTGCTACCGGGCCGTGTTGTCCACCCGATCACCCGATTTCTCTCAGAAAGTCTTTGCCTTGGCTGTGGGTGAGACTTCTAGCACTGCACTTGTTCAACGATGTTCTTCTTGGGCACAATGCGCACCATTCAAGTTTATTGAACTGATTCAGGAAACGTCAAGGGGATAGCCGGCATAGGGAATTCCCATCAACTTTGGCAGGTGGCGGAACAGATGCCTAAGGTGACCAACTTCCGCTGTTCTTGGTTCCTTGCATCGTCTTTGGCCGAAGCGCCGAGGCGTTAATCCACAAGGCACCATCATGGTCCGAGTCTCAGAGACTGCTGGCCTCTGCACTCGCTGCCGCTGCATGTTGTGTCTGTTGAGCATGCGTGATGTTGTCGGAGTCTTGCGATATCCTTAATATCAAGGAATAGAAGCACCGCACAGTGAACATCGTCCACGCCATTTGCCATACATGAGTTTGTCAGGCATTGTTGTTTGCCACTGAATATCTACGTTGTTCGTGCAAAGCACCAAGTTGCAAATACACAAATTACAAACATGTCTCATATGTGTTGCCGCTTCTTATGCCTTTGGGCTCTTCTGCGGAAGCGTCTGGCTTCATGGTTCGCCTTTAGCCCTGAGGCAATGGGCCACTACTTGGGCACGCGCTTGGCCAAAACGGGAAGGCACGGAGGGAGTCCGGCTTTTACCGGGAAACTGCCCAGTCCCGTTAGGTGCTCCGAATCTCCTCTGCTTGGAGATGGCAAGTTCTGGCAGTTTTGTTCACTGACGGTGCGCCATAATTACTGGGCTCGCGGGAGCTTTGCTGGATTCTGTTACTGTTCAAGGTGTTTGTACTACACTGTTGGACCAAACCTGGGGAATCACCTCATTTGTTTGGACTGTTTTGGGTGATTTTCCCCGGGCACCTAGTCCATTTTGTTTCTCACTGCGGGCTTCTGTGGGCTTTGCCTCAGGCGCCTCAGCTTGTACGTATGAGGAGGCGGGGGGGTGGGGGGCCGTCGCCTGGCCCAGACATGCCCAATCGGTGTGGCTTATTTGCCTCTGACAAATAAAATCGCCAACTCAAGCCGCGAGAGTCGTGTTGCCTTGCTCTTCAATTCGGATATCCTTCACATACCCATCGGCTGACTGTCAACGCAGAAAGACTCAATATCTCTTGGCCTTTTCCAACGGAAGCCGCGCTCCGGCTGATTTTGCGCGTCACAAGTTCAAAACCGGATAGCATCGCAGATGCCCATGCGCCAGAGTTCACAAGCATTTCAACCACAAGGCCTCCCAGGTGAAGCTTTGTGCGCCAGGCGGAAGTGAGCCCCAGTCCTAGCGATGGATGGCTATGGGCAGTGAGGAATGAGACCCTGCCTGCCTAGGATTTTGGAGGTATGAAAGGTACCCGCAGGTGCCATCTGGCTGTTGCCTCGTTTGCACCCAGAGACTTATTCGGAAAGGCGGCTGTGGCACAAGTCGACAGCTGTCAGTACAGGCCAGGATTGCAGAGGTCTTTCTTGGCACTAATGGCACTAATTGACTTTTGACCCCACAAGGGGAGAGATGTCGTTCTTTGCCTGATGTTCGCAGGTTGTACAGGCATTCATGCTGAGCTCGAGGCTTCGACTCATGGTTTGCCGAGTGGATTCCAGGTTTTGGTAGACATTCATCAGAATGCGTGGTTTTCTGTGTCTCAACGGTGCCGACAGGGATGCCACGAACAGTGCGTGTGGGGCGCTGATGTTTACTCGGGCCCTTTTCAACTTGTGCTTGAATAAGAGCGAGGCAGTTCTGTGGAGACTGCTCTTCAATTGCTTATTGGAATTGATAACAGCCTTCGCCCAACGGAGAACAACCCTAAAAATTAGAGGGCCACCAGGTTGCAAGTTCGTACGATGTAGCTCAGGGCAAAGGCACCCAGTCACACTTTGCTGGATCCACTCAGCTAGGAGTGAGCTATGCGCAAGGCATGGCATCTCCAAAGGAGCAAAAAAGTGGAGCCGGCGGGGGGGGTTGTTGTTTGTCGCCTTGTGCGTGTTTCATCTTGAGTGCTGGTGATTGCGGCTTTGTTCGTCCTGGTTGTTGGGTCCATCAAACTGCTTTTGATTGAACCCTGGTGTATTCGCTCAATTTAATTGTAGACATAGTTTCCCTTCTTGCCAGGGGCACCTTGCGCATGAGGATCAGGCCTTTGTTCTTTGCCAGCTGTCCCTAAGCCTGTGGTTGTGCATTCAGTGTTCCAGCCTGCCATGAAACCACACGGCCAGGTATTGGCAACTTTGTCTTGCTCACCTTTTGCACAGCAGCACAACGTGTCACGACTGCGTCATGTCGGCATGGCTACTTGGGTCCATGCTAGTTGGACGCAATGCACTGACACGACCGAGGGCGTTTTGGTGTTGCGAGGAACACACAACATCCTCCCCTTAGCCCCGAACCCTTGAGATTCCTCCAGACTCAAACAAGGGATCCTGACCCACCCACCCACCCACACCGATTTCTTTGCACTTGGACTCCGAGGCGCGGTCTAGGCGGCAAGCTGGGCCACAAGCTGCGCAGCGCCCTTCAATTGGATCCGGAGGCGCCTTTCTGCGACAGATATCTCTCGAGACGAATCCGTGCGGTTCTGCGAGAAAGAATGGGGTTTGGGGTGACTGGAATTTGGCCACTCTTTACTTCCCTCGGGCAGCCATGTGGTGATAATCGTTTGGGGTTCCCATACGCAGGTAAGCATCGACATAGTTTCACGCTGTGAAAGTAGAGGACCAAGGAGAGGCCCCAGGAAAGCTCTCCCAGGAGATCACGAGCCTTGAAGAGTAGTCCAAATCCGAAGGAAAAGGCGGCAGGAGTAAGATCGTCGCATCCTCCTTCGTGTGTCCTGTTTGTTTATGTGGCAAATCAAAATCAAAATGAGTGTTTCTGTTTAGAACAGGGGATGTTTGCAGGTTGCCGGCAGCATACCTATATAATGCGATGTGCTTGCCTCAACGGGAAGTCTAAGATGTCGTTGAGACACATGCACACATGCGACAAATGCTTGTTTGCCCGGGTCGCTTTGAATAGATTGAAAGACTATATATGACAATGTGTGTGTGTGTCCCAAACATCATTGACCCTCAAGCGATTGATGCTGATGCAAACCGCATCTCTGAACTGCCTGTTTGCCAACACGCTAATATGGGTGCTCATATCAGGACAATACGCCTCAGTCCCAATGCATGTGAAAACTCGGGTGTTTCTGAGTGAGATGGGGTCAAGACAGCAGCATGAAGCATACAGACCAGAGCCACGGAGTTGCACAAAAGCTAGGGAGGCTGCTGGGCTCCCAAAGTGACACCTGATTCCCACAAAAAGTGCGTGCGGAACAAGGGGCCCTTTAATTTGCCATGATCGGTCTACTGTTTATATATATATATAATATGAGGAAATCACTCTGACCCTACTTTGACTTTACCGGCAACAAACAAGTCAGTAGCCACAGAGTGATCCCTCACTCTGAAACAAGACTTGCTGCTGCGATAAGTAGGGAACGAGGGGATGAGCCCAGGGATTCGCTTAAAGGACCCATCCAGTTGGAGGGTTTTTCTCGGGGGCCTTGGATTCATCTTCGGCTCGCTTGTGGCTTGCAGCAGGCCCCGGGAGCGGAACTGCAGAAAGCCTTGAGCTTAGGGGGACCAGAGCGACCAACATGGATGATAGTAATAAATTGATTCGTTGTCTCATGGGAACCCTGGTGGTTGAGCCTGATTCATGTTGCCCTTAGTGGTTGCCTTTGGCCTGATGAATTAATATGTGTCATGGTTGTTTTTCAGGGAACGAAACAGAATCGACATTCGGAGAGAGCGTACTGCTGTTGACACGCAATGGAGGGTGGACCCCCTCGTTTTGACAGATTCCCAGGTTTGAGGGCAATCAAGATCAAATGATCATTCAAGGTCAGGTCATGTCACAACTCGCCCGAGCTGTAACCCATCAGTCGCTGACGTGAATCGAGAACAACCACACCAAAATAATAACTCTTTCAACCAACATATGACAACACCTCAGGTATTTGAAAACTAAGTATTTAAAAGCCAAAAAACTCAACGCGCTACAGCCAACTGAAGCAAAAAAACAGTTATTTGGAAATAGTTGGAGCGAGAACTCTCTGGGCTGTGCTTTTGCTAACACCCGAACGACAATGAACGCTTAAGCTGATGCGGTTGAACGTGCTAGAACAAGCAACAAAGCCAAATGGCGCCACAGCAGGTGAAGCTGCGTCACAGTCAATCTGCGTAACGTGAATATCAATCCACCACGCGCACAGTACTTGATTGGTGAACTAGCTGGATGACTTGGTTTGTTGCGCAGGCTTGTGTTGCCCTGTCTGCAAAACAGGACAGGAAGGCATTTGGAAGACTCTCTCTGTGAAAGATCGCCTTCTGCTTCGCAGAGCCATGGTGCCCTCTGTGGACGTTGTGGCATAGCTGCTAGTATTTGTCCGTGGGTCAACACCAATACCAATGGTACCATTTTGGTAGGTGCACCACTCATTTTAGTCTATTTTAGTGGGGATTGGGATGTTCACTGGGGGTTCGGGGTTTTGACCCATAGCCATTTGGCACCTGGAAGCCAACAAACTCCTGCTCTTTCCGGCAGGGATAAGCTGAAAGCGAGCCGGCCGCCATTTGGCTGTCGACCGAATGCTCAGGTGCCTTTGGCTGAGCTACAGCGAATCGTGGGTGAGCAGCCTGCCCTGCCGTTTGAAGTGGGGACGGCTCACATGAGCGCTAGGCGTTTGCAACGTTCCAGGCCGAAGCCTGTTAGAGAGCTTTCAACGTCGAACCAGTAAGCATCATAGGGTCGATCACACGTAATAGCTTTGTAGCAGCAGGCCTGTATGTTGTATGTGACCATGTTCGGGTCAGCGCATGCATGTCTCGGGCTAGATTCAATAACCTTCTCTTGAGAAAAGTTGCCTTCAGTGGAAAGCATCAGCAGTGTCGGTGATGAAATGACTTGAACGGAGCGTTCCTGTCCTCTCAATAGTTCATTTGCCTCGACCATTCTCATATATTCTCATGACCTGTCCTGGACCAAGGGTAAGCAGCTTTGCCCGCCGGCTCCAGTCCTCTGCTTTTTGGAATCACATGTTTGAAATCACGCATGGAGGGTCCAGTTTTTTTTTTGTTTAAACGCTTGGAGGGTCCCGGTGCTTGTGTTTGTTGCATTCATTCATGCCTGTGGGCCGGGGTGTCTTTTCTTTTGAATGCATGTCTTGGGGCTCCGCGTCTTTTTTGTGTGACTTTTGTTTTACATCACGCCTGGGCGTGATTTCAAAAAACAACAAACACCGGAGCCCCCAAGCGTGACTTCAAAACAAAAGACACCAGGGCCCAGAGGCGTGATTTCAAGAACAGAACACCGGGACCCCCCAAGGAAAGAACACCCCGGCCCGCGGGGCATGAATGCAACAAAAGCAAGCACCGGGAATTTCAAGCGTGATTTCAAAGAATAAAACACCGGGACCCCCCAGGCGTGATTTAAAAAAAAAAAGAAAAAGAACCGGAACCCCACCCCCCCCCCCCGGGCGTGATTTCAAAACACAAATCACCGGGACCCCCCAAACGTGATTTCAACAATGTGTGAGTCCAAACAAGAAAAGGCGCAGCTTTTCAGGGGCGACATGGGTGTCTTTTTGTTGAGGGTACCCCTGTTCTGCGGTTGAAACTGAATCGGTCCCGAAAGAAGACACAGCGATCCGGGCCATGTGAGCTGCATGCCTTGCCAGGTCAGCAGCCTTCGTGCACCGGCTGTGTCGGGGCGAGGATAGCGAGGAAGTCCGTGGAGGGGAGTTGAAGAGGAGCCATGTCGCGTGAGACCAAAGGGATCTCAAAATGGTCGACTCCTTTCTGGGCGCTTTTTTTTTTAAATTAAGGGAGACCAAAAGGACATATATCACCTCTTTGAGTCTTTGAGGTTCACTTATTTTGAGAGAGACCCGTGAAACAGGAATAGCACAGGGATGAAGAACAGCGCCAGGCTTGTGCATGCGAAATAGTCTCGCTTGTTTCTGGGTTCAATTATTGGGCGTTACGGAGCTCCACCTTTTAGCACAGGGCCTCCAGCTCCCGCAAGTGAGCCTGGGGACGCTAAGATCTAACTTTGGTGCATTTTGCCAAGGGATGTTAGGACTGAATAACATTTTGCCAACTAATGCGTTTTCCAATCAAGCCACTAAAAGTTAAACCGAGCTAAGAGGGTGACCAAACCAGACCAAAACCTCCCTCCGGCACACTGTCATGTCCAGCTCGCCGAATCCAACAACATGTGCAGGAAGCAGTACTTGAGCTTCAAGTCCCTCTTCCCAGCTGCAGAGAGTGCGCCCCGCAGAAACGGCTTGTGAATCAGATGACGGATGTTGATCAATGTTTGAACCAGATGTGATCCAGATGTGTTCGGTGTTCCTTTGTACGAATAGATTTGGCGTGCCGGTAGCAAGCGCTGTGTTGTTTCTCTCCCCGGGACAAAGATACATGAATCCTAATGGCCTCATTGGCCAGTCATTTACTGCCGATTGGTTTTAACGTGGGTGCAAGAAACTTATCCCGCAAAATGTCCCCCGCCATATGTTTGCAAGGCCTGCAGAGAGGCTCGGACTCGCATGAACAGCCGCAGCCACTAGTTCCATCAAGCCCGCACTTCCCTGCGTGCAGATTGTTGGCCTTGGCTGTGGCGGTGCCTTTTGACGGGGCGAGCATGACTTTTGGTGAGTCAACTAACTCGTTCAATGCCCGAATCCCAGGCACTGACGTCCCAGTCGCTTTTGCTTTGCTCATGAACATGCAGGAAAGCATAGCCTCACGCGCATTCTCTCCGGGGCTTGACTGCCGAGAGCTAATGTTTGACACGATTGACTGGGTGACCTTTGCAGGCAGCGGCTTTTCAAGGAGCCAAGTTTTGCAGATCTTGCACGCGGTTTGATTTGTTTCTGTTAAAGCCAGTGAACCAACACACCCGGCAATTTGGGGGGGGTCGTTTGACCCACCCAGACTTCTGCGGTTCAAAGGGGGCTGATCTTTTGGTGCGCCTGGTTTCGACCCGATCTGATCTCGTCGCCATGACCTCCACTCTGGGGCGATCCGCCACGCCGCTGGGGCGATCCTCCACCATCTTCCTGCAGGGCAAAGTGGAGGTCGGCGGCAAAATGTGTTTGAACAACCCCCCCCCCTTTTTGGGGCCCCCTTGTTTTTGTTTGTTTTTTTTGAGGGGGGCAGGGGCCTGTTTTGATGGGACTTTGATTGTTTCCCATTTCTTTTGAGGGGGCTGGGGTGGAAGCCAACAGGTTGTTTCGCCAAGGCTTGTGCCGGAACGAGGGTTAACAAGCGCAAAGGGCGGGGTTAGACAAGTGGTTTGGAGCCTCAAACACATGATTCAACAAGAAACATACAGTTGCCCTGCAGAAACTAGAACAACAACTAAACGACAACTAAACAACAACAGGGTTTCCCTTTAACAAACTGAACCAGTGGTTTTAGCTGCCCTTTAGAAACAAGAACAACAACTAAACAACCGCAGGTTTCCCTTTAACAAACCAAAGCCGCTTTTCTGATCCAAGGGTGTTTTTTCTTCCGCTGACTCCTTGCTTGCCGGCTAGGCGGTGGGCCTGGCCAACTCTGCCCAGGATGTGCTACGAGTCCTTGCGCCCGAGGCGCTGTTTGTGGCTTATCTGATGTGCTCTCTGTGAGAGGTTTGTCTTGAATGTTTTTTTGTTGGTGTGTGTTTTGTGTGTTGCGCTGTGTTGTGTTGTGCTGTGCTGTGCTGTGCTGTGCTGTGCTGTGCTGTGCTGTGCTGTGTTGTGTGTTGTGTGTTGTGTGTTGTTTGCTTTTTGTCATGGACTTGACCACGGTGGTATTGGGCGTGATTCCCGGAAAATGTCGCAGCTCACCTTGTCCAGGTCAAAAGACTACTTGCGTTGTTCGAGAGAACCAGATTCTAGAGGTTCAAGTGCAAGCCCTACAGTCTCTAGATGGACACCCCATTTGTCCTTAGTCCTTAGAGTAAGCAATAACCAAATGACAAGATGTATGACGATGCGTGCGAATGACGATCCTACATGTGAAGACAGGCAACGTGATTTCCCACGCCTTGACTTTGCAGCCGACCAACCGATCACGGGGTCGTTGCATCCGTCAATCATCTATCCGTCGAACAATGCAACCAACGTTTTTGGTCAGCAAATCTCCCTCATCAGGGTATGCATTCATTGGCCACGTGGAGGCCTGCTTGTTTGTGTGCTTGACTGCCTTGTTGCTTGGTTGGTGGCTTTTCTTAAGTAGCAAGGACACAGACGCAAAAGACCACTAAATCCCTGTGTTTCAAAAACCCACCCCCAATCAGAAGCCCTTCTGGACTGTTTCTTAAAGGGGGGGGTGGCTGTGGGTCAAAACTAGGGGTACCAACCTGGACTCAAACCTGCGGTCCGATTCCTGGTGGATTCATTTTGACCCATACCCACCCCCCATCAGAGAGGCCCTTCCGGACTGTTTCTCAAAGGGGGGGTGGGCCGCTACCCCCAGGGTTTTGAGCCGGACATCCGCCCGCGGCCCGGCAGCTGGCAGGCCATGCTGAGCGCGGACTTCCGGTCGCGCTTGGAGTTGGAGCACGTGGCGACGGCCTCAGACCTCGCCGAGCTCGACAAGGACCCGTGACCCGCTGCTCCGAGTCCGATGGAACGCGCGGCGGGGGCGCGTTTTTTAGGATTTGTTTTCGTTTTGGGCCAGTTCCAAGCGGGGCGTACGCAAAAGATCGGAAACAAGGGAGGTGGTCCTTGGTTAAAATACTTTGCATGTAGGCAATTTGTAGGATCCAGGCGTTTTGAAGCCCGAGTTCCAGGTGCTTTGCACTCGAGCGGCTATGACACAGTTTCAACCAAGAGGCCTTGCTTTTTAATTTGAACACTATCGCAGAGAGATCTTTACTGATTTCTTCTTGGCGTGTCTCCGCAATTGCAGCCCACACAGAACGTACGGGGAATAGCTGTACGACCAGCATACCATCGTTTGTACAATTGCACAAGTTTGATTGAGTAAGTTGAGGAAGGGCTGGAATGTTCTCACATTTCGTCGGTAGAGCTGTGTGCGGAGGTTTGCACAGGTTGCAGAAACATGCCGTGGCTGTTTGCAAGTGTTCAGGCCGACCAATATGTACACGTAGCAGTACACCAAGCTTACCAGGCTATTTGACTGACTCAATCAAGGTTGTAAACTAAGATATTTGTACATAAATCAATATGTTTGAGCACTAGGCTTGTACATTGGCCTTTCGGGAAGCGCCCTTCTTGCGGGAGTGCTTGAAGCCTACTCGGTACCCTTTGGATTGGTGGATGGCAGTCCTGGACAAGTTCATGGCTATGATTTCTGGGCATGTATTTTGCTCTCGCTTTCAGGTTGGATCTGGGGCTATTGAGCCTATACATTTCCGCAGATGTTGGCCGGGCATGGTATTCGTTCGCCAGTCCAGTCAGTAGCAGAATCAGCGCAGTCCCATGACGTTCGCATTGTTGACAGCTGAATTCCAGCATCAAGTTGAAGTCATAAAATAGCCAATATTCAATGTAAGCTGTTGATTGTTGCTATCATGCCCCCAGGCCAATGTGACTTCCTGTGAGAGTTCCATCTGCTTCCACACCCCTTCGTTGTGACAGATGCTGGCCCTTGCCGTTTGAGACTGGACACACGCGAGCACTTGAGTGGAAACAGCGGGACTGTGGCAAGCGCAGGATGACCTCCGGGAGCTGGGCCTTGGCATGGTGGAGCGTCGCCGGGTGATGCGATGGGCAGCGTGCCCCTCCCCGCGCCAGGGATGCATTGATGCGGCAAAAGGGAGTTTTATGCGCTGGGCGTCCTTGGTATTTGGTGGCGTTTTGTGGCTTGCAGTTTCTTGAGGTGTCGTTGTCGCGTTGTTTAGCAGCTTGTAGTGGATTGGCGGGCTGCGTATTTGCGGCTGCGCTGTTCTGTGCACCTGTATGCTGCCTGGATACAGCGGTGAAGGCTCGTAAGATGCGTCACGGCGCCTGCAATCTCTGAGGATGAGCTTTTTGGAGAGTCTTCGCACTGCGGATCACAAGTTCGGAGCAGAGGGCCGGCCTCTTCACGCGGTGGAGAAGGACGGATTTGTCAAGAAAGGAATGGTCAAGGGATAAATGGGTCGCGATTCGCCCGGGCAGATGCTGCCAAAACTAGGGATCCCCTGTCATCAAATGAGCAGAGGCTCCCTTCACAGCCCAAGCTTGTGGGTTTGCAACTTCAGGCTCAGAGCGATCTGGACCTCTGGTTTTCTTTGGCTAGCGCGACCTTCTTTCCAGCCGCGGGCTCAGCGAAGAACAGAAGGATTTGGGTTGGCACAGTCAGGAAAGCTAGGGAGCCACGTATCGGAAAAAGACCATTTTGCCAGCTGCTAGAAATTCCATGCTTAGTACATTCCATGGCCGGACAGCTGCAGCAAGGGTGTGTGGCACGTGGAGGAAAGAATTATTTTTCTCGCCTGGAAAACTTCCAGCAATGCGGCATGACCCAACCGCAAGGCACTGGTCTTGGTAACTTGTTGAAGCATGGATGTTAGTTCTTTCTTCTGCGTGCCATGCATTTGCAAGTTAAATCCCGACTTACGAGGGTCATCAAAACGCAATTCTTCAGCCAATGATTTTCTACCCAAGTTGTGCTTTGCAATGTTCGCCATGGCTGTGGGTCAACACCCTATACCCTGGTGAACATCAAAATAGGTGGCAAATGGATGTTCATCCACCCCAAATGGGATCGCCATAGGTTATGCAACCCATGACCGCATGAACAAGCAGCCCTAAGGTGCTGATGCGACAGTTGAAGGAGTCCCTCACTGGCGCTGACTTAGTCGCAGACAGCGAGGCAGGGTTTGGGCGCCACGTGGCGGATGTCCTTCGCTCTGGAACCTAAACCCGTCAAAATGGAATTGCCTTCAGGTCCCATTTTGGGGAAGACTGGATAAATGGAACTGGGCTCGTCCCATCCCTCGCTTGCGGTCACTGCGGGTGATTTGGATCATGCAAACAGCCGAAGACTTTCTGTCGAAGAGCATAGAGCAGATGGAAGTCGAAAGTGATGTTGTAGCGAAGGGCGGTTTGTCCTCGCTGACCCCTTACAGCGGAAGTTCATTCGATTGTATCCCAGACAAAGAGGCGAAACTGCCACACTTCCGGAATGGCTTCTGAATCTATTCGAATTGGTGCAACCCAAAAAACGCACCCGGGGCATCAATCGAATGATTCTAATGTCCAAAGGGCCCCTTCGAATTCATATCCAAACTGAACCGGAAGGAGAGTCGGGGCAATCCCCCCTTCGCCCACCGCCCGCCGCCCGGCTGGGTAGGTTAAGGAGTCCAGCCTCAAAGCTCGCAGTATCCGCAGGGAGCCAAGTCCGTGCGTTGCAGGCTTTGGCTGGTGGTCCTATTCTGCAGTTGTCATGTTGCTTCGTTTTTTTTTGCAAAACAAGCTGAGCTTGGTGTTTTTTTGGCTCCGGATAGTTGCTGTGACCTTGAGTTGTCAAGGGAGGTTAAGCAGCATGGGCTTGTGAGGTGAGAATATGCTCGAAGAGCACTTTGACTTGACGCCTGAGAGACTGAAGGAGCATCTTGGCCTTGAAGTATCGCAATGTCGCTATTTAGAATTATGCTGAGCAGGCTGAATCCATGTGAGAGTTTGCGTGTGTGTCTGACTCTCGCTCTCTCTGTGTCTGTGTTTGTGTGTGTGTGTGCGTCTGTGTCTCTCCCTCTCTCTCTCTCTCTCTGTGTCTGTGACTGTGTGTGTGTGTGCGTCTGTGTCTCCCCCTCTCTCTCTCTCTCTGTGTCTGTGCGTGTGCGTGTGTGCGTTTGTGTCTGTCTCTGTGTGTCTCTGACGCGTGTGCGTGTGCGGTTGTTTTCCTGTTTTTGTGGCTGTCTACGCACATGTGCGTGTGTCCTTGACTGATGGTTGACTTTCTCGTTGTAGGGTTTTTTGATGCCAAAGTTCGCCCCTTGGGCGTTCTGAACGAAGATCCGGAAAGGAATCTGAGGGCTTTTGACCAGTCGAAGCCACATCGCGTATGCCAGGGAAGTGAGCCTCTAGAGTCTAGAGCCAGGGTGGTTGGGAGAGCCAAGAAACTTCTCGGCGAATACATCCCCTTGACAAAAAAGCCATCAGCCTCCACTTTCCCCACGTGTTTGTTCTTTTAAATCAGGTACTCCTTAACTGGTTTGGCCCAGTTCCTATTGAAACCAAATTAGGTTTTCGTACTTAACGTCTAAGCCACCAAACCAAGACACCAGTTGGCAAGCGTATCGAGGATCTTCCAGCAGGTCTCCGGGGGCGAGCCCATCCAGACAGCGAGTGCACTTATGGACGGCCTCAGGCGGAGCGACAGGCACTCACCTGCCCTTTTGAAACACCCAAAAGACTGCAAAAAACAAACTGAAACCACAACCTTTGTTTTGGGAGGGTTCGCCATTTAGAGAGACATGCCGCAAACAAAGTTGGACTTCAACTTTAATATATGTCTTGATTGCGCTTGCTTCCTTTCTGCTGTTCAACGCACACACACACACACACACCACACACACACACACACACCTTTCGCAACGTTTTGGTTTGAGAGGGGGGGGGGCCTGAAAGCACAGATGCTAAACGCCTTTTTTTGCTGGTTTACCAAGTTTCGAGGAACGACTCGGACAATGAACCGCGGTATTGCAATTGTGTTCTGCTCGCACGAGCAACCATGCACGGGTTGATGCTTTGGACAACTGCTCTGGCCAAGTTGTCACGTTCAGCCACCGTATGGCAGTTCCTTCTACCACAGTGACTGATTCAGACGTAATTAGGATGTCTTACTTTTAGATGCTAACTCTATCGCGAAGTCGTTCAGCCTGTCCAGTCGCATCGGCGTCACCTGCAGCGACGTGAAGCCCCTGGCAACAGCTTTCAACCTGCTCACCGGTGGACACTTAAGTCAAGGCGGGCCCGCTTTTATTTTTTTTTATTTTTTGTCCAGCCATGCTTTTCGCATATGGGCCATATGGGTGTGTGATTTTTTTGGGTACCCTTAAGGCGTGGAATTCCCACCTGCTCCAGATCAGTACCCCTGGGCGACACAGTTAGGTTAGGTCGTGGCACAAAAACTCATAGACAGTATTCATGACCCTCAAAAAGCTCCAACCCATTAAACCCTCTTACTTCATTGGTTTTTTGCCCTGTTGTTGCAATGGTCTTTAAAGGTGGCAGGCTGTTCATCCCAACCAGTGTGACTTTTGACTTCTCCTTGGCAAAAACTTCAATTGAAGAAACCTGTGCTGTATCTCCGGAACTGGGAAACTATTTTATACTTTCAGCTACCTTTCTTTACTGAAATCCGGAGAGTGAAGCATTGATTGTGGTTCAAGCAGTCTGCGGAGAAAAGGCCAAATTTGGGGGTTCCATGACTTATGCTAGAATTCGGAATGACAAGGCTGGTCTGAAGCTCAAATGCTGATTTGCACAGTCTTCTCTGTGTGGTGCGTATGTCTCTTCAGATTCGGTCAACTCTTTACCAATACGTGCTTTCCGCAACTTGATTGGTTCTGGAATAAGGTCTTAGCGTCTCACACATTGAAAGTTGCGCATTCAAAGCTACCCAAGGTCTTTCCAGGAATCATTTGTTAGGCAGATTTGGAGAATTGCATTGCCAGATTGAGGCTCGAGTCAGTGTTTCACAAACCGCTCGGAAGAATTGACAGGGTCCTGTTCAACGTCGAGAGGCTACAGCACATCTCGAGGATCAATTTGGTTTCTGGAAGGCTTCACATGCTTTGCTAGCGTACACCTATAAAGTCTTGCGCTTTCATCTTCCCTTCATGGTTTCTCCCTACCATAGTATGCTTTCCGCATGCTTGTCTCGCGTTTGACACCGTTGCAGTTACACCTCTGAAAGTTGTGCTGGAGATTCTTCTTGGTGCAGTTCCAATCTTGAGGACTAATGCCAGATGAGCTGGACGTGATCCTTTCCAGGATGAAGTTGGCACAACTGCTGGGCCGGGGCGAAGGTCAGATGGGGGCCGGCGCTCAGGTGTCAGTTGAACATTGCACAAACTGAATGGTTGACGTGTTTCCCTCGACTTCCTTTTGCTTGGCATCTTCTTGCAATTGCAACGAGGTATTGTGTGTGCTGCCTGTTCTCCTTTTGAAAGATGGAATACTTAGCACTTTCTAGGGGCTCAGCAAGGGTAAACTAGGGAGCCACACAACAGACAATCGGTGCTTGCCCTTGGTCATGCCCCTGTGAGGTGGTTTTTGCGAGGATCACCTGATTGATACACATCCACCTCCATGTTAATATCAGGGGTGCTGAGCCGAAAGGTAGCATGAACAGCAGCAAACGCGCCAAGTGCTTCTCCAAGCCTGCTTTGCATGGTTCCATCAAACAAGCTCAGACGAACATCGAAGCCTGAGTCGCTTTGCTTGAGTCAGTGGTTGAAACCGCAAAAGATGGTGAGACGACTTGATGAGTCCCATATGCATGGCTAGTTTCGACTTCAGTCGGCCTAGAAACTGGCACTGAAGTTAAGAAGCTGTGTGAAAAAATGACACTCTCTAGGTGTCCTTCGTCTGAAAAGGTGTCCAGAGGATCAATGAGCCTTGTGGAGATCAATAATCTCAAAGATATACATTCGACCTTTGACGATCCAGTTTCAGTCAGCCAAGAAGAATCTGAGTTGTGTCCCAAAAGAAGCTTGAGCCGGCATTTGAGCAACGGACATATGAGCAACAGACAATATGTGTGGTCTGTCGTTCATTTGGAGAGGACATGGGGGGGGACCCCTACAACCACCAGTTCCTCACAGACAGGGGCCCTAGGGGCCTGCCTGCCCAATGGAACCAACTCTAAGTAATCTTGTCCGTTACTCAAAAAAAGATTGCGCTCCCATGGACTTTTTGATGACAAACGCAAGCGCAGACTGGCTATTCCGAATTCTCTCCAGGAAGCGTCAGCTGGTGTGTGCCACCGGGACGCTTGACTTTGGTGGACTACACGATGAACAAGTGTGTCACGCAGGAGTGCTGAGTATCAAGCTCCCTCTTGGCCATAGGGCTGCTTTTTGGTTGGTCGTAGACTTGTCCAAAAAGAAACGAGAAAGCGTTTGGATTGCCTTTGTGGTCGAGCATTGCCGAAGAAAGAGAACCCGAACAAGTTGTTGCTGTGTTGCTTGCCACTGAGACTGGGGTTCTAGCAGTGTCGTCAAAATATGGTCTTTAGGACACTCACAGTGACTACAATCCCGCAGCTTTGTGTCAAACGAGCTTTCCCATGTGGAATTGCTTGCCTCACATTCCACCTGCTCGGGTCTCCCATCAGGATGATCGGAGGAAACTCTGAGATCCCGGAAATTCACACTCCCCCCCCTCGTCTCTGGATGCCTTGTGTATTATTTTTCGAGAACCCTTTGGTTCCTGCCTGGAGCCCAATATATTGTTGTTGTTGTTTTTTTATTGGGAAGCCCAAAAGTCGCAAAGACAGCACTCGGACCTCCAGATGGCTTTGCCCCGAAACACGACACACTTCGACTCGCAGGAGCTGCGGGAGGAGCCGCTGCTGAAGTTCTTCTTCGGGCACCGCAGCCACGAGACCGACACCTTCGCCGCGGACGGGTCATGTCGAGATGAGGTTATCTCAAAATAGGGATGCTGGGTTTGCTTTTGGCGTATCGGCGCGTTCTCACGAATGGTCCACCAATAACGTCCTTTTTCTATCAGCTTCGCCGTGCGAGTTCTGTTTTGGTTCGCCCGGTGCAAGTACCAAGATCCCAACATTGCCCCCCCAATTTCCCCTCAAGCTTCTGTCCTGGATCATGTGACGTTGGCATAGCTTGCCTTTCTGTCGTTCTTTCGAGTTCGCTTTCAACCAGCAAACGGTACGCGGACAATTCTGCCAGTCATGCTAGCGATCATTGCATGTGTGCAACATTCGGTCCATTCTGGTGAACATGTTGGGTCGTTTCGAGGATGCGCGTTGTTTCGGTTTTGATCCCGATCTTGGGGTGGAGGGAAACCAACACGAAAGCACCCGGGAATATAACATCCCAATTGGAGACAAACCCTCTGAGATGGTATGTTTTGAGGGTGGCCCAGAATCAGAAAGCAAGGGGGTCACCCTATTTCCAGGCGAGCACCCGTGCTCCATTGCGCTAGCTGTGCCTCCCGGGGCTTGGTTGTGGAACAGGGAGCTACAGGAGCTGGCGCAGGTTTGGAATGCCGCAAGCTTGGGTCAGCTGGCACAGGTCCGGCGGTTTGCGCGGTCCGATGTAGCTCGCCTCACTCGGCCTGGTCTTGCCCCAGTTCGCTTGGCTCGTTCCAGCTCGCTCGTTGAGGGCGGGCGCGCGCTTCTGCCGGCACGTAGCGCCAGGTGTTCACGCTTTAGACAGAAAAGCGCCTGAATTGCGTCGCTGGCCAGGTGACGTGCCGGCCTGGGCAGCAGCTAGACGCAGGCATGGGGAGCAAAGCAGCGTGCAGACAACTCAATCAGACCGGTCTTGGAGTGCCATAGGCGCCAGCAGCGGGAAGCCGCACGCTGTTCTGAAGCACTTTCCGCCCTGGTGCCCACGTTCTGGCGTTGAGAGGGTGCCATCGCCAGACCTGCTGACAGGGCTCACTGCGTCGCCCCACGCTCCCCTAGCGGCAGCAGCAGTCCACTCAAGACCTTGTGGGTGAATAGCCCTCAGAAGGGGCAAGCCCTTTTGCGCCTGTTTATGGCCCCCAAAGAAATCAAGAGCCACGCGACGCAGGGACCGGCGCACCTTACAACTCAAGGAGCTTGGGCAGCATGAAGCGGCCGAATGGTGCCTCAACATGGCCCCCCAACTTTCTTCAAGCACATCACCTCCACCATCGCCAGACATGTCGCCTCAAGATGAGGGCTTGAACTGCGGCGAGTGCCTGCAGCCCGAGATGCGATCTCTCAGATTGGCTCCAGCAAGCCCAGGCGCCCCGGGGCTTAACGGCGACGACATGAACGCAGGCTGCTGGGGCAAGGCGCCTTTCAGAAATGGAAGGACTTTGCAGGGGCTGTGAAAAGCGGCAGCCGAGCTGCTGCAGCGCAGGGGTCGAACCTCCGCCTGAGCCGGGCATTCTTTTGCTAAGATGCCAGGTGGGAACCGGCGAGCTCGCGCAGATCCGGCGAACGGCAAACCCGCGCAAACCCGGCGAACCCGTGCAAACCCGAACCCGCGTGACCCGACCATTTTGGACACATGCCGTTGGACTGTGCAATTTAAACTGATATCCGGGCTAATTGTTTGGGCTCGCCCGTCGAGGGCCGAAGCTGAGTCTCCAGGACAGCAATCCACAACGCTGGCTGCACTTGCGTGGCTGCCACCTTATGCTTCTTGGTGAGTTGTGGAGTGCTGCAAGCATTCCCGAGCGTTTGGCTTACACAGTTCAATACCTGAAGCCTAACTCATCTGCCTATCCAAGTGATTTTTGGAGAACACCCACAAAAACAAGAACTGGTTGCAGGGATGTATGTTCTGGTTGGCAAGTTTCGTTTGTTGGCAATTTGTTTCCTGCGTGGCAGCCGGCGTGGCATAAACACTAATACAAGCTGACACGAACCCGCGTTGGCTTCTCCACACTGGTTGCCGCGCGATTTGTGTTTTTGCTTGACTGATGGGAAAGGGTGTTTATTTTTGCCTAGCCCTGGCACAGGGCTAACCCTGGCAGGTGGTGCCTTGGTTGGTTGGTTGGTTGGTTGGTTGGTTGGTTGGTTCGTTGGTTGGTTGGTTGGTTGGTCGGTCGGTCGGTCGGTCGGTCGGTCGGTCGGTCGGTTGGTTGGTTGGTGGCTTAATTGATTGATTGATTGATTGATTGATTGATTGATTGATTGATTGATTGATTGATTGATTGATTGATTGGTTGGTTGGTTGGTTGGTTGGTTGGTTAACATCCTCAGCATCGTTTTCAACATCCTCAGCATCACCAGGCTTTGGTTAAGGTTGGATTTTGGGTGGGTTCCAGGTTGGCTCAGGCTTCGCTCCGGGTGGGTCCCAGGCGTATTTAGAGCAAATTTGGGGTGGCTGTGTAAGCCCACTTGGGTGGTTTAAGGTGGGTGGCACCCTACCTTAAGCCAATTTTAAACCCACCCTAAACCTAAACGCATCCGAGACCAACCTGAAGAAGCCCCAGTGTAAACCAGCACTAAGCCATTTACCTCAAGCACAGCCACCCGCAAATTTGCGCTCAATAGGCCTGGGACCCACCCGGAGCGAAGCCTGAGCCAACCTGGAACCCACACTAAACCCAATCTAAACCAAAGCCTGGTGATGCTGAGGATGTTGAAAACGATGCTGATGATGTTGAAAACGATGCTGAGGATGTTAAACCGATGCCAGGCCTGAACCTACCCTATACGGACTACCCTAAACCCACCCCAAAGCCTTGTCCATTAGCGTCTCCTTTCGTGCACGCCAGGCTGTGCCAGGGTTAGGCTAATGCCAGGGCTATGCAACAAAAAAACACCTCAGCCGTGACTGATGGGATTCGCTGTTTGCAGCGTTTTGACATGCAGGGCTGCAAACAGGGAGAGGCACGTCAGGCAAGCTGGCTTCGTTGCGTGTCATCCCAGCAATTCTCCATCAGTCTCAGTCCGCAATTTTCGCTCGAGGCTCCTCATGGCTCTCACTGTCAAGTACCGCCTATCTCCCATGGGCGTGGAAGATGTCATTGAGCAAGGCACAATCGCACACGCGAGCCGTTGGAATGAAAGCGCCACTGAATACTTGATGCCTTTTTGAAGGAGACGGTTACCCTGGCCACTACTTCAGTGCCTGCAGCCATGGTTTGCTTTTGACGATTTTGGGCAAACAAGATCGTTGACAACCGGTATTTGTAGCCCATTCATTCAGGCATGAGATTGCTTTGTCCTTTCGGGATGGACTTAGAAAGGAATGAACTTGTTGCTCCTACTGACCATTCCCTGCAGCAGGAAAAGGGCGCAAGCCTTGTTCTTGTTTGCGACCAGGATTGTATTTGAGCTACAAGTGGGCTCCCTGAAGTGCAGGTGCCCCTTTACGGTATGCCGCGGTGTGCCAATCTTGTCTCCAAGAGCACCCAGTTTGCAGCTTGTATCTCGCAGGCCCAACAAAGGTGGATTTGCATGGCAGCAACATCTTCATCACGCTGGACCAGCTCCCAGGCTTGTCATTCCCGTTGCGACGCAGGTCTTCGGAGCCTGGAAGTAAAGCGAGCTTTAATTGATAAAGTATGGTAAATGTCGCGCATCAAGCCGTTCAACGAAGAGTGTGTTTTTGCAGGTTGCAGATCAGGAATGGCGACTTGGCCATGTGAATAGAGGCGGTCTTGCCATTGGTGGTACCACCGTCCTCAGTTAGCGTTCTAGATACTCTGCAATTGAAAGTAGTATTCGTGAAAATGTTGTTCTTGCCTTGGTCGCAGAAGGCCGCGAAAGGGTTCACGAAGCCCCCACCGCACACGCGAATCTCGCAGGTTGAGAGCCGCAGCCATGTTACCCGCAAAGCTTTCTAGATTGGACTTTGCCATTGTTCTGCATCATGTTTGCAACATTGACAAGGGACCATGCCACACCCTGTGTTTGAGCCCTTGTTACGGTAATGGAAGCGCAACAAGAAGCATCCAAGGCGCCTTGACGCGCCCCACCGTCGGTGGCATGGTGCGCCCACAACTGTTCTAAACTCAGGTAGCATATAATAATAATAATAATAATAATAATAATAATAATAATAATAATAATAATAACAATAATAATATATACATATATATATATACACATTATAATATACATATATATATATATATATATATTTGGATGCTATTACGTAGCATGGCATGGCTCTTGTAATGCGCAGCTGTTCACAAGTAGCGCAACAAGGAAGCAGCCAAAATACACACAATCCGAAAATGCGAGGCGAGATACGCGTAAGCTCCGCGTAAGCTCCCCGCAAGCTCCGCGTAAGCGCCAGATGCCTCGCCCCAGCCCCAGCTCCAGCCAGCCCGGCCCATGCCGCCCAAGACCAAGCCATGATTCCAACTTACTTCCAGGCGTCGGCGTGAGGTTGCTGCAGCTCTGGGTTGACGTGTCTTGTCCTACAGCTTGTGCGCATTGTCTTGCGCGCGTTGAAAAGCTCCGCTTTTCTGGTTTCGCCGTGTTCGCGTAAGCGAAACACACATGTCGCGTAAGCTACCCCCGCAGCCGCGGAAGCCCCGCGTAGGCCCTTGCGAAAGGATTTTGTTTAGTGTCTCTGGCCCGCGCAATGATTTAGAACAACGCTCAGTTCGAAGGCATGCTGTTAGGGAGGGGCAGCTGGCCAAAATGTTTCTGTGCCTCGCTTCCCAAATGAAGGCTTCCTGCAGAAATCTGGCAAATTAACCCTGAGTTTTCCTCCAATCGTCCAGAATAATAATTGTTGATCAACGCGGAAGGCACAGTCTTGGAAAAACTGAGGCTCTACCTCAGGAGTGTGTCCCAGTCGGGAGAGCGGCCTGTGGATGTCGGGTTTAGCCACCTCACTGTGATTCTGTCAGCTCCGCATCGGCCTGATACGCTGACTCTTGGCAAGAAGCAATTTCAAAGTGATCCAACATGCGCCACGTTTGAAGGGGCAGTTACTTTGTCCAGTTGGTGGATTTTGCAAGAGGTATCATCCATGTTGAAGCAAGTCAGATTTCTTGACGCTCTTTCCTTCGCCAGTTCAGAACTGGTGTAACAGATGGGGACCCCCGTCCCTTTTGGGAACATGCAGTGTCATGTGCCGCCTTCTTGGGCGTCATTACCCAAAGAGGTTCACCTTTCTTGCAGCCAACCCAGCCTTGTGTGTGAGGCTTTGCTGCTTTGCTAGTGTCAGTGTCAGCGAGGTGTTTTCATTTGTGTCGCACTTTTTGTCCCCGGCATGGAGAGCACACCTGCATGCTCGCTCCTGTCGGGGAGCTTTACATGAGTTTATACATTGGTCTTCGTACCATGAATTGGGGCCTTGTTGTCACACCACTATTTCAAGCATGGTTTGGCAGCGATCCCAATGCTGGTTGACAACACCTGCCTTCTCATCCCTGTACGAACTTTTAGCAGTTGTCTTTGGTGCTCTTCTTCCCTTCTCACATTTACTGCTTTACGTGGCCAGTTGCTTGTCCCTCAGGCCTGTGATGAACGTGTGCCGACCGTTCAATGAACAATCAGGCCGTCACAGGAACTAACAGATGAACATACCAAAGGCCAAGGGAACGGCACGCTACGCCTGAACACATATGCTGTACATAGTTACACTGGTGCTGGCAGAATGCATTTCTTCCTCGGCTGAGTAGCCACAATCCAGCTGGCAGAAGGCTTCAGTGCATTTAGAAATGCCCCACGTAGTCTTGACCGCAAGTCGAGCAACTGTGGGTACAGACCGGGATGCTGAGTGCGATGCTTCTTATCTAACAGCACTGGATTGTGCGTTTGTTTGATGCATGCTTGGCAGTCCCATAGGGAGACTTGGCATGCTTGAGCCATGATGCGGTCCTCCGTAACGACACCGCCTTTTGGGATTAATAGACCTCGCCTAAGGATTCCTTCCTGAGAATTCCGAGCAGTTTTCCTTCTTCCGAATTCATAAGCCTCAGGAGTTTGCATGGTGTTGACAGCAGGATAGATTGCTGGTGATAGCCGGCAACACTCTGGCAGGGAGGCGGCACACAGTGAGAGGCGGCGACATACAACGAGACGCTGCTGATAAGGCAAAACCTGGCAAAGGCCTATCGAGAACTTTGGAGTTGGTCAGAGCAGCGCAAACAGAAACCGACTGTTTCAGTGCTGTATGCATCAATATACAGGTTCACCTCCAAGGTGTCGCTGTCCTTTCACCATTCCGCCCAAGGGGAGGGGGGGTCTGTTTGTTTGTAGATATGTCACGTCACAATAGATGTTTTTGCATGTCTCGCCTCAGCAAGGATCACAGTGGTGCAGCCAAGCCGCAACGTGCACAAGGACTGCGAGGGTTTCCTCGTCCAGCTTTCGCCAAGAACTAGTTGAACTGCTGCGCTTCGCATCGCACCGAATCTTCAAGCACTTTCCAGAGGTGTACTTGAGTCATGGAACTTTTGGAACCTGCCCATGATGCGCATGATGTGGTGTTTGTTTTGAAAGGAGCGCGGGCTTCAAAGGACTCGGCGATTTTTTTGGCAGGACTGGCCTATTGTCGAGTGCGAGGAGCCGATCGATGGAGATGCGTGGGTCGAAGTGCTGAGGCAAAGGTTGAAGCAACTTGGCTTGCCTTGTCGCATTGAATCTGGGTGAATTATAACGACCTCACTCGACTTCACCCCAAATGGTGGTTTTTGTGTGGTGGGGAATAGCCTCCCAACCACCTTATTTCAGGTTGGTGAAATATTGGAATTCACCCAGATTGAATGAGCGCCAAATGTTATCGTCTCTTTTACTGTGGCCTAGAACATGGTGTGGATTAGTTGATTGACGTTTGGTTCACTGGATTCCATGAGGTTGTTTCTGGGGCAAGTGCTTGCAGGGAAGGGGAAGCCTCAGGATTCAGAAGCCTTCAAAAGCCCCTCGCGTACTTTCAGGGGGATGGAGCAAGGGATGTGGATGCTGCTCATGAAAACGGTTGCTGGGGAACATCATCTTGGACCCAAAGATGGGGTCTTGTCAAACCGGCGACTCGTTTTGGGTCTCGGCCCGGGAGCACAATGAGGAAGATGCGCTCGCGCCTCGCTGAGCACGACGTGAGATTCTTGGGTGTGCAGATTGTGCAGCTGCTCAATTGCAGGGAAGTCGGTATGTACAAGCGCCAGCAACTTGCAGTGCCAAGTCTCGCCAATTTTCAGCGAATGTTGCTGTTGGCAATCCAAAGCAGCATGCATTTAGATAGGCAAAGCTGCCAGCTGGCTTGTGTGCGTGCGATTTGTCTCTGTTCCCGCTGCTGCCTTGCTTCTGGGTCACAATGCGTATTCATTTGTCCATGTTTGGCAGCTGATTTGATGCTACAAGGAAGCTGAGCACCGCTGCATGTCCCGGAGTCAAGGAGTAATTGTGCAATTGATATTTACTGCAGCCAAAACCAGCATCCACGCTGTGTAGCATATATGGTTCTCGTTCTAGCATGAAGGCCCTCCAATTTCCAAAGGTGCCATCCTATGTGTTGCTTCTGGAGTGACCGGACATATCCTTGCGCACAGCAACTAGTCCAATGTGCAACCTCCTGTGGCTTATCTCTGCTTCAGCCGGAGCACATGACATGCAACCAGACGGTTGCACCTCACGGCTTCCATTGGCGCTTCATCCCACTGCCCTCAGCTCAGGCTTTGTGTGGACAACTTGGTGGCAGTGGTGAGGGCCTTCGCTGACGCTCAGCGAAAGTGAAGTGGGACTTGACCTTTGCATAGCCCCCGGCAACAGCCCACCAGGTAGATGGCTTTCCATTGGAGAGGCGTCATGTTCTATATTTGCTAGATCACACGGACCTTGTGACGCCACTTGCTTGACAAAGTAACTCGGGTCAAGGAATCACCTAAGGGCAAACGAGCAAGGTTCCAAATCAGTCTGCTGTCATTGAAGGGGAGACAGAATGGCCCCCTCACAAGAGTATACTTTTTGCCCTGACCTGGATTCAGCTGGCACAAGCACCTTGGAGATTGCTTTTGGGACCTTCAGCAATGGTCAGGCCACTTGTGTCACCTTTGGTCCTCTGAGTTTGCATCAAGTTTGCAAGCCTGCCATGAGTATTTCCAACTCAGCACGTGCCAGACTCTGTGCGGACACGTTCATTTCTCCAACAACTTGAGAAGCGAGCGCAACCGGGATTCGGATAGAGAGAGAGAGAGAAAGAAAGAAAGAAAGAAAGAAAGAAAGAAAGAAAGAAAGAAAGAAAGAAAGAAAGAAAGAAAGAAGACAGAAAGAGAGAAAGAAGACAGAAAGAGAGAGAGAGAGGTAGAGACAAACAGAGAGAGAGAGAGGGGGGGGGCCATGAGAGATGGGCATGTAGTCGTTCGCTTTTGCCGATCGGCAGCTTGCATTCCAGGCGAGGCTTGTGCACTTGGATCTTGAGCTGCAACGCTGCATGGTCCCAGTGGAGGAGAACTTTGGCATAGGTCTGCCCGGTGCCAGTTGGCATTTGGAGGCAGGTGATACAGAAGCCGCCATTGCAGATTAAACAAACGTGCTGTGACATGCTTCCAGCAATTATGGGTTGATCGCTGCTTTCGTACGAGCTATCCCTGCGCGTCTTTTGCTGACGGTGCGTCCACAGCCAGAGCCCTACCGGTTGTCATTGCGCCTTTCAGATTGCGCGTGCCCTTCCGGTCGAAAGGAGTTGGTTGGGCCCAGTTTGGTTTGTAATACGTACGGGGCTCCAGGATGAAACCAGTGCGTTATGATCTCCCCTTACAAGATCTCCTTGACTGATGCTAGTAGGAAGGGCTGCTTAATGAATGGTTTTGTTTTTTCACGGATGTGCAGGAAGATGGAGTTGTTGCTACAATACATACTGGTCTATTGCATTTGCTCGGAAAAAAGTTGACTGAAATCCTATGGAGCTGTAGACTTAACGCGCCACTCACTGACTGGTTTGTCGACATGTGCCCATTCAGTTTGAGAGGCTCTTTTTACAGTACTTGGGTTTGGAGCATGAGAAGGGCAGTACCTGATTTGGTCCTGATTTGGGTTGTTCTTCCTGCGTACCTGCTCGAGACTGGAGAATTTATTGATCCGCCAAACCTTTGAATTCGCTTCTTGGATGGGGCCATCCTCTTTGGCCAGGTTTTTGTTTCAAACACGTCACCTACTATTCACCTTGCCATCAACCGGCATTTGTATCAAACGAGGTGACCTCTTTTCGGCTGCTGTTGCGAAACCAACAGGATGCCTTTGGAGAAGCATCAAATTGAACAACTAAAGCCAAACCAACAAGTGTCCCTATGTTCGGTGAGCAACAACAATCTTTTGAGCAAGTTTCTACATGTTTCACAATATGCTGAACATGTCTTACTTGACACCGGCGGGGGTTTTGGCAGGTGTCGCTGATTCGCCTTCAACTGGCCGTGGTGAGTCGCCGCCTGCGCAACACCCGCCACATGCTACGGCGCCTGGAGGCCGCAGACGTGCTTCCCTGTGTTCCCTTTGGGGCGTGGGTTAAAAGCGACTCCCCAAAGGGTGGTTTTTCCCTTGGTTTCCTGCACCAACCCCATAAGGCTCTCATCAAAAAAGGAGAGACACCCTTTGAAGCTTCAGGTTTAGAGCAAGAATGGCCATGACACTTCGTTGGAACCTCGGAAGGGACCCAAATGAACCTTCTTGATCTATGGATGAACCTCAGCTTGCTCTGGTGGGCGCTTGGGAAGTGCAGCAGGACAAACACATTCAGGGCGATGCTTGCCGGCTTGAGCATGATTTGGAAGGAGCTGGAGCAGTGATGCCATCGAAAGCGACAAGTGGCCCTTGTTCGCAGAAGCCTTTTGGAGATCGTGTAGCGGGGACATTGGAGAAGTTGTGGCGGGGACATGTTGCGTTTGTTAATAGATGTGTCCGGTGCACAGCAGCAAAGGTAGATGTTATCCCCTTGTTGAATCCATTTAATCGTGTTATTGCTGACGTGACAGCTGTGTTGGCATGGTTGCCACGCAAATGAAGGCCCTTATATGTCTCTGTTGCAAACATGTGCGTGTGTGTGCGTGTGCTCATGACCCCTGGCGACAGTCAGACGCTGTGGCACGCAACGAAGCGAGTCACAGCAAGCCGTCCCTGTTGGCACCCTTGAGTGCAGGGTTTTGCCCTTTCCTTTGTTGGGGCATTCCCTGCACAACCCCGGGTAGTTGAAGGGTAGCAAAGGAGAATCCCAGCCATAAATGAGTGCGGCCACATTTTCAATTCTTTATACGGTTCTGGGGATTGACCATTTTAATACCGGGTTTTGATGATGACTCAATATGGTCAAAACCAATGGTACCATTTTGGGGTAGGTGAATTCACCACCCATTTTAGAACCTATTTTAGTGGGGATTGAACCGGATCGCTGGGGGATAAGCGGGATTTTGACCCATGGCCATATTGCCTTCGCGGATTTCTACGGCCGGGCGCAGGACATGGTGGTGGATGCCATGGACCGGAGGCCCCGCGGGACTCGCGGCTCGCGGCTCGCGGCGTGAGGTTTCGGGCCGCCCGGGAAAAGACGCAAACCCGGGTCGGGTCACATCGGCGAAAACGGTTGGTGGGGCCTGGGATGGTTTTTTTTTGACCTCGGCCTCCGGAATTTCCGTGGCCTGCATCTCTTTGCAAGTGGTTTGCGCAACCGGGACGAAGAAGGCGTGTTTTTGCACCCAACACTCAGAGCTACCACCAACGCTCCTAAAATTAATCGTGCATTCCCGGAGTACGTTGCCGGTACTTGTTCAGGCTAGCAACCTGCCAGAATAGGGTCAATGTGCTTTATTGCCAAGAACCTTGTCAAGCCATAGTCAAACCTTTGCAAGCCAGGCATGCTTTGTGCACACCGGTGTTTCATGTACCAGGCTCGTGGGGTATTTGCAAGACATCGCCGACGATGTGGACGGCAGTTTGGAAGACGCCACCCATTTGGGCGAGAAGTGCCGGGCTGCAATTCAGGGGATGCTAGCGGGTTCGCCGAAAAATGCTGAGATGTTGCTCGTATGTGGCTGGAACATATGTGCGTTGACTTGTTAGTTCACGTTCTTTCAGTATTAGGGTCTTCGTAAACTAATCCTTGACGAGTTTTGAACGGTTGAGCCTTTGCAAGTCTCCATGGCCCCTTGTCCATGAATTGCAAAACAAAATGGGTGAGTGGAAATCCTCAGTCACCCCTCTTCTCGAAGAATTCGCAAGAAAGCACTGAGGTAACCCCCCAGAACTACCAACAAGAAACCGGTGGGACAATTTGCAGAACGAACCCCCCCAACCCCGCCCCCAACCCCCCCAACCAGAACTGCGGAAGCAAGGAACAAATAAAACTGCCAAACAAGAAGAAGAAGAAGAACACAAGTGCGCTATGTCGGATTTTTGCGGAAGGAACTTCCCTTCACCAGCCCCCCCCCCCGCCCTACGAAGGACGCCTTAGGGGGATTTTTCCGGAAGCTCGAGGTGCACCTCGTTGGGCAACGCCCTGGAAGCCGCCCAGGGCCGGGAGTTCGCGGCTCAGCGGAGGCAAGCCAAGGAGACGAAGGGGGGGGAAGATGGGGAAGATCAGGAGAAAACCGCAAGGGAAGTTGATGGTCAAAAGGGGAAAAGTGAGGTTTTGGTCAGTTTACCGAACCACCAAAGTGAGTTTATGTTGGTGAAAAGGGGAAGATGAGAAACGTAGCAATGCACCATGAGTTGGTATCGAAGGCTGGAAACGCTGAACTAAGATCAAACCAGAGGTGTCTTGAGGGTCGAACCCTGAATAAGCCTTGAGAGAAGAGGACAACAGCCTGAACCAAGAGGAAAAGAAACCCGAAATAAGAGGTCAACCATGTTTCATACAACTGCTCCTACCCCCGAAACACACCAGGCCCCCTCCACACACTCCAGTTTTGGTCCCATAGTCTCTACTTTCAGGATCTCATTGTTTTGCCATCCTAGTTTCGGGGTGTTGTCCTTCTTGTTTGGAGTTTCATATATCCTTCTCATTGCACCCCATTGAAGCTTGTGGGGTTCCACGCTCAAGATGTTTTGGCGCCAATGCATGCGGCAAAACTAGGAACCCCTCCAAATGCCAAGATTCCATGCAGTTTCCCTTTCAATCTGTCCCCCCCAGAAAAAGGTCGCGCATGCCCTGCATATTGGGCAATGCTCGTAGGAGGCAGAGAGGATCGAGCAAGAGAAGCAGAATCGACATGCCCAACGGCTCAACGACATCCTCTTTGTCTTAACGACCGCGACGGCGCTCATGGCACCGGTCCAATTTCTGGCCGGCCTGGAGCTCAGTCGGAATTCTCAGACTTGCGAAGGCAGAAGGCATGGCAATTGAGGAGTCTATGGCATGAACTTTGCGGTTGACGGGGACCCGACCATCCCAGAGCTGAAGTGGGAATACGGCCACTCGGCTGGTGATGGGTCTTCAACCCGCGTAGTAGCCGAATGGAAGGGTCGAAAGGGCCCTAAGTTCTCATTAGGTTGGCCAAGATATTGGCCAGAGACTATTGCTGAGCCCATGTTGCTTCCTGAGTTGTCACTCTTCTTACATTAGGGCACTTTGCCATATTGGGTGCGTTGGTGCGACTTCCGTTACGGCTCAGCATGCAGGCTACCTGTACTTCTGGATCCTAGTCATGGTGTACCTCATTGGGAGCGGCACATTCGCCGTGAGGCTCTTTCGAAAGCTGAGGCGCAGAGGGTTCAAGGCATCGACGCCACAAACTTGAAAGGCACGCGCGGGTGTTTCCACAAAAAAAACATGGAACCTAGTTGGGTGACCCATGGGTTCTAGCGAATGGGTAGGCAGATGCTACATGCTGCTATGGGAACCCATTGGCCGAGAGCTTGCGACCCAGGATTCAGCAGGAAGCTGCTGGTTTGCTGAGGCACGGCTTGCCAGCGCCGGGGGCGCGCTCGCGCGAAGAAACGCATAGCTTTCAGAGTTGGCTTGCCGCATCCGCATCCTATTTGTCACTTCTACATGTTTCCTTTTTTGCCTGGGAATTGCAACTTTCAGGCAGTGTCGGATCGCTTGGCAGTTTCAATCTGCTTGATAATCGCTTGCCGGACTTTGAGGAAACCATGTCGAGAGTTGAGCCAATAGTCCTGGCTTACTTCCGCCTGGTCAGAAGATATCTTCCACACAAGGCCTATGCACACTTGAAGCAGAACCCCGATATGTTTAGAGAGAGAGAGAGAGCTGCATGCAAATATGAATATACATATATACATATATTGAAGGCAAACTATTTATGCGCGGCACATATGAGCAAGACACATGGTTGAAACACGCATACTGCAAGAAGCAGACAAGCAAGCCATGCCCATGCAATATACTCATCAGAAAGGCACTAGACTCAAGGTGAAATTGCACGTAAATCACACTTGTGAGATACCTGCTGGCAAGGTAATCACGTATGAGCAAGATGCATTGGTTCAAGACCGACGGGGTGTGAAAACATCAATGATATCCACCTCAGAAGTAATGCACATGAGCAAAATAGATACTTGCTCACTCTCGAGTTCCGCACTTACGCGCAAAGTTGCATTACAGTACATTTGCAAACTTGGACAAAACAGGGACCAAGAACAGCCCTATAAGCCGCCAGTCAGGCCAGTTCGAACCAGAGCCGGAAGAACAAGCATGGAGATATGTCGGTTGAAGCGTGCAGGAGTCGTGGCACCTTTTCCACACAAGCTGTGAGGAGCTTAGTTCAGATCGAGCGGCGTGCTGCGCGTTGCATGCCTGTGAAGCTGCGAGCTCCTGACCAAAGGATATATGAGTATGCTGTCCGATGCAATCCCCCCAAACAAAAATAGTATGTGCTCACAAGTTTTCAAGCTGAAGGTAACAATCAAACTCCAAAGCAAATGTTGTTTTGCTTCAGGGAGTCAAGCAAAAAGGATCACTTTAGGATCCATGAAAAGTAGAAAGTAAATCTGCAACAATTAAAAGACAGTTTTACAGTACCATTCCCACAAGAACAATTGGTTTTACTTCAGACGTTCTTACTTTGTACTTTTCACGGGTCCAGCAGTTTTACTTGTTTCCTCGTTTGCTTCTATGGGAGGCAGCACCTAGCACTTCTAGTCCCATGAAACGCAACAGCTAAAATCATGCAGCGATGTTTTGGCGGCTGCCCAAGGGTCCAACAGTTGCACTGGTTGTACTTGTTTCCTTCTACTTGGGGAAAGGAAAAACAGTAGACATATTAAATGTTTAGTCCCATGAAAGCAAACAGTACAACTCACAAAGTAGGTTTTTCTTACTTCATGGGGTCTTTTGCCCAGATAGCTGCAGGGTATAGGGATTCTTTATGTTTTGCAAGATTGACGGCTGGGTGACGGTGCCGCGAGATTGACGGCAGGGTGCTAGGGGCGCTTGCAGTCAGAGGTGATTAGGGGTGCTGGTGCAGGTGCTGTTTGTGGTGCTGCTTGGGGTGCTGTTTGAGGCGCTGGTGACTGCTCATATCAATCTTGGCAGGGCTGTTATATTATCCCATACTATTTAGGGTCTACGCTGGTGTATTTTTCGTGCTGAACGCTTTCCCAGCAAAAGTAGAATAGAACTCCCAGAAGTTTTACATTTGACTGGCTACTTTTACTAGGGGCAAGTAAAGAAGTACAAGTGCGTGAAGCAAGCACGCTTTTATATTGGGAGTTTTACTTTTCACACAAGCCTGGAAAAAGGGTCACGGTTCTGCTTCAGACAGTTTGAGCTTTTTATTACCACTGGGAAAAGTAGAACAGCAAACAAGCAAATTTATGTTTGAATGAAACGTTAAAGCTAAATCTGACAAGCAGAAACATGTTTTTGACTTCAGGGAGCTTTCTTCCTTTGTGTACTTTCTCCAGCAAACCTAAACACGTAAAACTCCCAAGAGAAAATTGTTGTTATTTCTTTACTTGTCCCAAGAAAAGAAAATAAGTAACTAGTACAACTTTTGGACCCACGGAAAGTAAACGTAACACTGCCTGAATTGAAAGTAAAGAACAAAGGCTATGTTGGGGGAGTTGTGTTTTTTTACTTTATCGGGGGAAAGGTTAGAAAAATGTAACCACTTCCTGAAGTAAATCAAGTTTTATTTGTGGGAGTTTACTTTTACTGGGGACAAGTACAAGAGTAAACCAGCCTGAAGCAAAACAAGCTTTACTTTTTTGGGAGTTTTTTTTTTGTTTGTACACGGAAAAGGACAAACATAAAACTTCCAGAAGTCAAACACATGTTGCTTTTGCCGTTTTGCTTGTTGCTTTTGTCTACATAAGACTCCCTGAAGTAAAACAACACTTGCTTTTGTAGTCTTACGTTTTCACTTTGCCTGGGGCCAGGCTTTGTTTGATTTGCTTTTACCGGAGAAAATAGAAAGGGAACACTGCCATACATAGAAACATAATCATTTTTGCATGCTTGTTGTGTGCTTTTCCAGAAGAGCACTGGCACTTTTTGTGTGCATGTGTCCACTGTTGACATTGAACATAATTCATGGTTGCCGGGTGTTTGTAGTTTCCATTTTACTGGGTCTACCACCCGGACAACCCTAGGTTTGGGGAGCAGGGGTGCCATACATATACACGCGGTATGCACTGTACATCAAGATAATTTGTATTTGTTGCAAGATCATTCAGAACCGTTGAGATCCTCGGGTGGCCTGAGCAATACACGACTGGAGCCTTTGGGTGCCGGCTTCCCATAAGGCCGTGATAGGCACTCAAAGGAACGCCCAGCCGTTCCCAGATACAATCAGCCGCCCTTGTGCAGTTTCAGGGGGAGTCCCCCGTCCACGGCGGCAACTCCAGCTGGAGAACTGAAACCTTCTCAAGTCCGCCTTATCATCCGCTTCCAGGACCGAGGCGAATCGATTCCGTGCCTGCGAATTCACTTCACACGCTGGTGGGGTTTTCAGAGGTGTCCCTCTGGAGAGCCCTGCACCGTACTCCTTAAGGTCCGTAAGGTAAACCCCGAATAAAGAGTCAGCTGGGGGCAAATGAGGAGTCAATCAGCCACAACTAGGAATCAAGTGCCATGTTTTTGCTTTGGGCCATCGGCCTTGCTCCCTTTTTTGCGGAGATCCCCTGAAATTCAGCCAGAGATGGATGTTTTTGCCGGAGCCCGGCCGGGCAAGCAAGAACCAGAAGGTCATGGCTGGATTTCGAGGCCCGGGTGGGTGAAAAGCTGGCGCCGAAACGTGAGGATAGTGCCACCAGCTGCAAGACCCACCAGGATCGGGGCGATCTGAGACTCGACATGCACACGTGTTGGCGTTGTTTCTTGGAACTGGTAGCTGTTTCTTGGCCGGTTAGCAAGGGCAGGGTGAATTGAGGTTGAGGCTGCTTTGGACCAGCAGGAAACGAAGCAAAATGTAAAGTCGGCATCTTGAATGTCCAACTGCTTGGGAAGACTTTTGATTTTTTGCAAGCTTGTATCCGTTTCACAATCAATATTGGCTAGAGTTTCACCGCCGCAGCACAGCAATGACCTCATGTCGCCACCTAGGGTTGGATAAATGCAAAGCAGTTGACTATGCTTGTTCCAGATTGTGCTTGCCAGAGTTCAGACTTTGGGGCTGGCTGAATGACAACCTTAGCGCATCACCTGCATTGAACTAGTCCTGTGCTCTGCTGAAACTTCACCACTGGAGCTGAGAGTTTCCACCAGGTTAGCGACGCATGCCACGCTTCGATGGACACTCGCACCTTCTCGTACTTAGGGTGTACCTCTAACATGCCAGGCTTGCCTCGTTCAGGTCCGTCTGATCTAAAGTAAGATGATGTTGGTGTCTCTCACTGGCTTCCCATCGCATTTGGTACGGATAGGGAGAGGCTTCTTGCCATGACTGCTCTTGGCCACGAGCAACTTGCCAGGCAAAGTTCAAGAAGCTCCCGCGACTGACATGACCTCTGCAAGTGATCGCGGGCTTTGAGCATCGGGGCAAGGTGTCGCCGAACCGAAGCAGAAAAAAGGTGCAGATCTTTGAATCTTTTCGAGCAGCTGGTTCAGATGGATCGTGAGGGTTCTCATTGGGATGTTCCCCTTGCCCCTAACAGTAATTGTCCTCCTTTGCAGCTGCTACTGGGCCCATCAAAGTCACATCCTCCAAATTGCCATCTAAATGGTGGGTGTCTCTCAGGGGATTTTCCACACCTCAAATTATTCTTGTGACCCACTAAACTACCCCTTCATGTGGTTTATTTGTTCGTGACCTCCCAAACTGCTGGGTTTCTCTTCCATTTCTTTTTCCAGCCCCCTCATTCTTTTTGCACCCCCCCCCAAAAAGAAAACAGGAACTGGTCCAGTGGTCTGGCTGTGTCCCCCCCAGATGGAGAACTTTTGACCACGGCCGGTCCGGAGGCCTCCCGGCTCTGGAGCCCTGGCTCGCCAGCCTCGCGGCGGAGCTGGTGAGCCGAGTCCGGGAGGCGGGCGGATTCGATGGATTCGATGGCGATGGAACGTGGGAACTCGGAGCCCGGTTTCTTAAACTCACTTCCTGAGTTGGTGGACTTTAAACTTTCTTGGAAAGACCATTTTGGTGGTAAATAAAAAGTTCAAGCTTTTTGTTGGCCAGTCAACTTGGGAAGTGAGCTTATCCTTTTTTTTCTCTGGGGGTTCTCTCTAAAAGCTGGGAATATGCGGGGGGGAATCCCTGAGAACTCGCCTAGCCGCCGCCTAGCCTTTGTTTTTCCTGGCGGTTCTCTGGATAAATAGCGGCCTTTTTGTTGGGCTTCTGTGAGTTTCCCACGTAGCTTGGAGCTTGGTTCTTATCCATTTTGTTCCTTGTTGTTGTTGCTGGGGGGGTTGGGGGTTCTTATCCATTTTTTCGCTCGGGGGGTCTCTCTAAGTCTAAGAATCACCTTTAGGGCTACCCTAGCCTTTGTTCTTTGGGTTGGGTGACCTCTCTAAAAGCTGAAAATATGTGGGAATATGCGGGGGGGGGAATCCCTGAGAACTCGGACCCTAGCCTTTTGTTGTTTTTCTCCTGGGAGGTTCTCTCTAAGAAAATCAGCTTTCTGCTGGGCTTTTGGTGAGTTTCCCAAAGCTGCTGGAGTTGATTCAGGGGAAGAATTTGGGAACCCCAGCAGTGCATGGACAAAATCCAAGATCGTTTCGCACCAGTTGGGATGGATGAAGCATATCACCAAATACGGGGCTCTTCAGATGCCAGCCGCAGGCAGGGAGTAGAGAAAGAGTGCAGAAGCACAAAGAAGATGTCTCCACACATATCTACAAAGGAAGAGAAGCAGGAGAAAAGACAGAAAGACAAACAACAGGAAAGAGAGAACAAAAAGCACAATGACAGAAAAGGGAAAAGGATCACGGGTGGAAAAGACAAAAAGGACAAGAGAAGACAAAAGTACGAGGAAAATCATGATGGCATACAACAAAGCAAACAGCAGCATAAAGGTTATGACAGAAGAGGAAGCAGTGCAAGAAAAGACCAAGTACAATGGCACAAAGAAAGGAATTGCAACAGTTCCAGATCGAAAATGAATACAAGAATACAAGGAGCATGTGAAACTTGCACACCACGCGACGAACGTCTCAACATAGACACATTGATGTATGCCCTACATGTTCAACCAAAGAGGCAAGTGACACTTGTACACAAGCTGCCTTTGTGCCATGCTTTGTTGGAAGGCATCAACAACTTGAAAGCGCTTTAAAGCTCCCAGGTAACAAGGACCAAGAACCAAGATTGCATGGCATTTGTCAATGCTGGAGTGTGGAGCTTATGTCAGTGTGCTTTCTGAAGCATTGAGTGGGTCAAATTATTTTGCAGTGTTCCAAAAACCAATCAGAAGGTCATCCAAAGTGCAAAACGTGATGCAACAATGATGGACACGGGATAACATGCAACCATACACTACATTGTAGACAGTATGTATGGGTACACACTGTTTAAGAGTAGTTGGGGCTGCAACAAACACGTCTTCGGAGGCCAGGAAGGGCTTCGGGGTGTCGGTGCGTGTACATAATTGCCAGTCAGCGTGGGCATCAAACTTGCGCCACATGTGTTGTTGTCTCACCTATATCGTATTACTTCGGTTTGGCCACCAACAATGTCAACCAGAGTGCTGCCATATACGTGAATTGTGTGACATCATCATTTACACCTTGGATCAGTTTCAGGACATTTCCAGTTCTTGCCAGGTATCAGTTGCAGCAGGGTTGGAAGTGGTGTTTGACCTGCGTTCAACTCTTCATCAGATTAAAACTATTACACCGATACATATATGCCGCGCGTATCTATAAATATATACATTGTGATATTATGTTGGTTCGCCTACCTGTCCGTTCTTATCTGCAGTTGCGCGTTGTTTGGTGACGACATAGGTAACCCTTCTAAACTCCACCTGCCGCATCCTCTCGACCATTTTGGCATGCTTTCCGAACAATCTTGTCTCGGGACTGGGCAAGAACTTATAAGAAACAATCTTGTTTGACTCAGAGTTTGCTGGGAGTCAATGGGTGGAGGACTCGATTATTTTAAATATATCTATGATATCTATGCTAGGCGACAGAAGATGTGCAAAGTCAAGCGTAGCGAGAGTTTGCAGGACTACTGCAGAGCTCATCACCCCCACCCATGAAACGAATGCCTTTGCCATGTCTATGCTGCACCCTTCCCACATGGAATCCAACCAATCAAATGGGAACCAGCGGCAAGAAGGGAGGCTATGAACCTGAACGTGTTCTATTTGTCAATAGCCAACACATGCAGAACAAACTTGAGTTAGTTCCACTTTTCAGGCTATATTTGGCTTGCAAGATATGTCGGCTCTCCGCAAAATTCCACGACGCGTGGGATGTGCTTGGATTTGATTTGATGACGTCTGTCGATCCAAGTTGTTTGATGGGTCCATCGAGCGTGAGCAGCGGTGACACTGTTGACGGAGTGCTGCTCGTGTTTTTTGCGCGTACACAGCAGCTGCACATGTTTGTATCTTCTTGGATGCGTTCAGGGGTTTCAACACAATGCAATGAAAGTGTGATAGAGGGACAGTTTGGACAGGATGGTATGCATTACATCACCTCACAGTATACCTGGAGTATCAGACTTTATCAGACTATGTGTTGCGTCCATAAAGACGGTGAAAGTGTTAACACCAGCTGACATGTGGTCAGCCAACGGCGGCCATTTGCGTGCCAAGCTGCTGGTTCGATTCCAGACCCTGTCACTGTATCCTATTCTGATCCATCAGGCAGACCGGCGACTCTCTGCATTGAAGGCATCCGTTTTCATCATGCAGCGCATAGCCAGTGCCAGGATCCTGCACGGCGGCCTCGCGTCCTGGTTCTTCATCATCGCGGCCGTCTGGACGCGGACCCTGGGGCATCAGCCGTTTTATACCTGTTGTTCAAGGGCCGACAAGTCCGCACCCCCTCTGTTGTGGTTGCCGTTGCAGTCATTTGTTTCTTGTTGTTGGTGTTGTTGTTGCCGTTGCTGTTGCTATTGTTGCGTTTGTTGTTGCTGCTGCTGTTGTTCTTTGCCGTTTCTGGTGCGGTTGTTGTTGCTGTTGTTTGTAGAATATTTTTGTCATTGACTCTCTTGTTGTTTCTGTTGCTGTGTGTGGTGTGCGATTTTTTTTGATCCGACTCCTCTCGCGCTTATTATAATCCTTATGTGTGTGTGTATTATGTTCGTGTGCAGCTGCTTTGTTTGCGTTGCAAGAAGGGTACATGGTCCGAATTGGGGGCACTTTTGACTTGGGGCCATGACAGGGACTAGTTAGGGCTGGAGTACTTTATTTTCGAAGGAGAGGGTTCATGCCGATGCTAGCGTTGATGATAGTAGCAACGTTGGTGTTGATGCTGATGCCATAATCCGAGAAGCATCATGTTTGTCGCCAGCTCGATTTTTCCAGCCGTTTCCGTTATCGCAACTTTGATCGGTATTAGCGTTGGCAGCAGGCACAATAATGATTGCGCAGTGCATGGGGCTATTGTTGTTCTTGACTCATCGCAGCCCTGCTTCTCTGCTGTGGCTGACCGCAGGAGCATGGTAAAAACTGGGTGGAAGGTCGGGCCGGGGCCTTTGCAGGCGTTGCCCATGAGAGGTCGGCCCATGGTGACTGCTTCAATTGTCCTCCATGCTGATTTGGGCATGGGATGTGTCAAGCAGGGGCCAGTGCAGGACTTGTTTTGTAATGCAAATTAACAGCGTGCCAACCATTTGGAGTTGTTTATTTCTGCCACGGACCGATTTGTTTGATTAAAGCGATTTCCAAGAACTTCTGGGCATGTCAGCAGGCTATGTTCTACTTGTAAGCTTCCACAACCTCTCCTGGGAATCCACGCCTTCTGAACTGAGTGATGGTCGCGTAATTTGCCATGCCCACCGTATCCAGCTTGTCTTCGCGACCAAGGAGCTGACAAAGACCATCAGCCGATCCTGCGTGGCCTGACTAGTGTTTTTTCGGCCCAGCGTTTGTTTGTGGATTCAAATCTGGGGCGAAAGCCAAGATGGATGTTGTTTTTATTCTTCTGATTGCACGTCGAAGTTGAACTTGGCAATGATTGACTCTGGCTAACAAGGGCCCCTTTCGGCGTCAACACAGGTGGAACTTCTAAACCCGTTCAAAAGTGCGACTCCTGCTTCCGTCCTTTTCGTTGTCGGAACAGTTATTTGGATTGCAGGAATATGTTCAATCATAGTTGGCTTTGCTACTTGTTCCGGTGCTGTGGAGAAGGACGCACACAAGAGCACAATGATGGGACTATGTGTCTTACTTGGTTGGGATTTGAATCAAGAAAATTGCCATCTGCGAAACTTGGATTATTCTCAAGGCCTTGCTTCAGCCAACTCCAGGCTGTTCTTGTAGCATCCTGGCGTTAGTGGCAAAGGGCCTTAGCCAAGTGCACACGCTCACAAGAGCCCCGAGTCTCCGTATCCCCGAAATGCCAGGCATTTCCGGAGCTGGGAGGCCGGGCTTCGGTAGGTCCTTGGCCAGGGGACAAGGCATTGGTTCTGGTCGCCAGTCTCCTTCCCTGTTCCTCACGGGCGCTTTTCCGCCCGGTGAAGTGTTTTTGTTGACTGCACGCATTTGTTTGACTCGAGCAGATACGGTTCAACGGGTGATTTCAAAATGAACTGCTCCTCGTAGCTTGCACTTCGAGAGCATTGTGCAGGCCTTGTCAGTCTTCGTTGCATAGGTTCGGCCATGGTTCTTGCTTGACCTGATTGCGTGTCCTGCTCATCATGTCAATCTGCATGGGTGGAGCAGTGACGAGACTGCGTCGGACAGGCAAATTTGGCGCTTGGTTTCCATGCTCGTGCTATGAGTTGGCTCGGGGTAAAGATATATGCTTTGAACTTTAACATCCCGCGTCTTGTTCAACCCTCGAACTATCAGGGCTTTACTAGGTATCTTATGCCAAAGAAAAGCAGTGCTCAGGCTCATGATGTGTTGATGGAAGGAAGGCCGACAATTCTCGCTTTTGCACGGTTGCCAGGGGAAGTTGGCCCGTCAGCCGCCACGGTGGTTGCCGATGCTGTGGCCTGACCGCAGGAGTCGTTGACTGCTGGCTCGCTTGCTGTTTGCGGCGGGTGTGTTCAAGAACGAGGGAAACCATGGACTAGTTTTCCGATTGCAGCATGCCTCCAATCCATCAGCGCTTTGTGATCCTGTGCGAACTGACCTTGCCACATCCACCGCATTGATTTGCTCGCGTGTGCCATTGAATCCTGTGATGTTGATACACATTTGCGGGCGAAGTCCTGCTCTGACCTCTAGCATCTAGCGAGACCCGTCCTTTGATTGAATTTCAGAGCGTGGTAAAATGGGATGCGGATGTTGGGCACTCTGCTCGGTGACCTCTGGTGCAAATCAAACTTGGACAAGCCAAGGCTCGCAAGTTGCTTTTGGAACGTGCAGCTTGGCTGAACAGCTGTGAGCCCGAATCGTGTCGCTACTTGTTTCTGGACGTAACATTGACTTGGCCCTGTTGTTCGAGTTTACAGGCTTATGGCAAGTAGCACCTGTAACGCATTCTGCTTCATACATGATTGGCCCTTGTGGTCCAAGCCATCAAATGTTCAACCGTGCATGCGAGGCATCATGTGTGGATGGGTTTGGTGCTGCAATTAACTGACTGGCAGCTCTTCGCGTGCTGCTTCTGATGCATTACTTGCTTTGGACATGCTGAACCCTTGAGAGAATGCCTGGAGACCCAGAGATTCGGTTTGGAGACAGCCATTTCTAGTGACTGCTTTTTGCAGTCTCGATTCTTCTTACCAACCAATTGGCATTCACTTGCATAAGAGTGACATTGATTTCAGTCGTGAGCCCCTCCATTCTTCCTTGGATCAGTCAATGACTTAGGTGAGCCAGCCCTTCCCATGCTCCCGACTAGCATTGGGAGCCAGTGACTTTCGCAAGGCCTGGTCGTCAGATTCAGATTGCCATTTCGGGCAGCGCTGGAGCCGGCAAATATTTTCTGGGGCTCTCGGCTATGCGCTGCCTAAATACATTGCTTTCAGCCCTGCCGCCCACCTGGCAGCAGAAGCTGCGCTTGCAAGACAGACACGACACGACACAGACACCGCCACGACCACACACACACACGGGACATAGACACAGAGTCAGAGGAAGCCTAACGCAACGGGGTTCTACTACGACTTATTTTTCGTTTGCACGGTGTCCTTCGACACGTTCGCCAGATGGAGCACCAGGCGCAGGCAGCTCAGTCGGATGGCGCAAAGTGGGTACCGGATGTTTGGAAAGCAAACACATCATAGATTGAATCACTAGGCAGATTTGCGGCGCAAAAGGATGCAGATGATGCAGATCGTTTGACAATCGGAGAACCTCATGATGCGAGCTTGTGAAAAAAAAGAAGAAAAACAACTAGCTGATCCCACTGCTGATGTGTATTCCATGGTGGCACATGTCATTGAACGCGTAACGTGGAGGTCAGTTCGAGAACAAACGCGCAGAAGGCGGCTGCATGGCTAGGTCTCGCATCACTGCCTTCTTCACCGCCAAAGAGCCGAACGAGCCGAACGAGCTGAACGAGGTGGGGTGTTTGGGCCTTTTGACCCAGCAGGGATCCCAATATGGTTGTGTCTTTTTTGATGAAAGCCACCATTTTGAGGGAGGGGTATCATTTTGCGGAGAAAGAGGGCTTCCTCACGTTTCGTGAGGTGTGTTCTTACCGTTCAAGTTCTCAAGTCATTACGATTTGGGAAACAAATGGCGGAAGGATGTTTCGAGCCCTGAATGCACGGAACAAGTGTAAAGCCAACATTGTGATTCGAAGCCGTAACTTTTGACATAACTGAAGGATCGCGTTGCCACTATTAGTACATGCATGATAGACTGCATCAGGCTTGACAGACTCGTGTGGCCTTTGGGCTTGGCAGTACTCATCCCGCTCAGCAGAAGCCCAAGAAAACACATGGAGGATCGTGTCTTGTTGTGCCATTGAGATAGCCAAGCATGTCTATGTTTGACCAGCAGGTTATTCTCAGCATGGCCCATGACATGGCACGACAGAAAATTCCACAAACCTTCAGCACACGACTCTAAAAAACGTGAGCGCTGTATTTATTGCATGTCACGCGCATGGCGGGCTGTATGGGGCGCACCCAGACGCCCAGGCAGTCGCTTGGCTTCATCACGGCCAGAATTTCGATATGCTTCCCGGGAGGAAGAGCGGCTTGTCAAGACCACGCTGCACGAGGTGTCACGGTCACAGGACATGAAGCTGTCATTGAAAGTCTACCACTTCCAAGAGCTGTCGAGGACGTCGCTGCGCGACGCGGTGCTCCAAAGTGACTCGCGCTACGTCCAGCTCAAGGAGGACCTGAAGCAGCAGGTGGCGGAGCTGTCGCCGGCTCAGCTGGTGGCTGCCATGGTGTCCTGTGGCCGACTCACAGTGCGCGAGAAGCAAATGTGGTGGGACCTGGCGCGGGGCGTGGAGCGTCACACTGTGAAGACCAAGAGCGGCGCGCCTGGGTTGCAGCATTCGCAGATTTGTTTGGCCATGCATGCGCTGGGGAAAGCCAACGTGAAGATCAAGGATCGGTTCTACTACCGGACTTTCAAGCTGATGATTAAGAATGCAGAAGTTTGGACCGAGTTTGACATGGCCTGGATTCTGTATGCGATGCGAAAGCGACGCTTGAGACCCGTCAACCCTGAGCGGAAAGATCACCAGATGTGGGGCAAGGTCATGAAGGCCATTGCTGGCTTCTTCCGGCAGAAGTTGCACTTCATTTCGCCCCGCGGGGTTGTTTGCATCCTCTACGAGTTCGCCAAACACGGGGTTTTCCCCGGGGAGGTGCTCTTTCGAGCCACCCGGCGAATCCGGAAGCACATCGGTGCGCTGAACAACCGAGCGTTGATTTGGTTGGCCGTGCTGCTGGCCCGCTTCGATTGGCCCGAGAAGCGGTTGCTGAAGAAGTTTTCGGCGGAAGTTCAGAAACCTCAGCGGCTGGTGCGTATGCATCCTCACTCACTGGTGGTGATCCTCCATACATTTGGCCGGCTTGGCTTTCGGGATGCTGCGCTCCTCAGGAGCCTGTCAGAGCAGCTCACCAAGTCTGCGGACCAGCTGGAAGGGAAATATGCAACCATGACGCTGTATGCCTTTGGCAAGCTGGGCGTGCGGGGCCCGCTGTGGAAGATTCTGGCAGAGAAGCTGGAAACCAAAACAGATTGGCTCTCCCCTGTTGATATGGCGCTCATTGCTCACAGCTTTGGCAAGGTGGCTGTCCGCGAGAAGGGCCTGCTTGAGGGGCCCTTAAGTGATGCGGCCTTGGTATCCATTGCAGGCTTCACTCCAAAACTGCTGGCATGCCTTTTGGACGGTCTGAATTTGGCAGGTTGCCTCCGCGATGACTTGTTCTACGCAGCCGTGGAGGAATATATTCGGCTTGGGTCCATCGGTGGAAGGCAGCGTCAGCACATGATGTCGCGAGTCTTCTTTTCCGTGATGTTGGAACGCAAGCATCTGCTTGAAGGATCACCCCCATCTTGGCAGCCATTGATGAGCCGTGCGGAGCATGCCCCAATAGATGCGCCACCCCGGCCATACCATCGGGAGTTGGCCACTTGTGCAACGGCGCTTTCCTTGAAAGCCCGCACCAGGCGGCGAAAGGGCCCATACGTGGTTGACTTGCACATCCCGGTGCCGGCACACGTGCCCTCGGGCCCGCACGCCTCGCCAGTCTCGGGTCTGGCGGTGCATCTCATGGCGGAGTCGGAGTTCTGCCCTCTGACCAAGGAGCCTTTGGTTCATTTTGCCAAGGGATGTTAGGACTGAATAACTTTTTGCCAACTGATGGGTTTTCCGTATTAAACCACTAAAAGTTAGGACTGAATAACTGCTTGCCAACTTTTTGCCAACTAAACGACTAAAAGTTATTTCCACTTGTAGCAGGGCTTCGCAGCTACCCGAGGAGCTGCTGGGCCCCACGCGCCTGCGACGGCGCCACCTGACTCAGCTGCAGTGGCGCCACCTGGGGCTGCGGCGCAAGGAGTGGCTGGCGCTGCCGGACTCGGAGGCGCGGACGGACGCGCTGGAGAGCCTCCTGTCGCAGCAGCTGCCGCTGAGGCGCCGGCCCATTGCCGTGCTGCAGATCTCAAGTGAAACCACTCCGCTGATCGGCGCAGAACCTGACAAAGAGGAAGAGATTAAGGCATCCACTCCGCTGATTGGCGCGGAAATTGAGCGAGAAGTTGAAGAGGGGGAACCACTGATTAGAGAGCCTGATCTTGAGGGAGAAGATCAAGAGATTAAGGCACACGGCGGAAAAGCTCGCAAGCCAAGGGGGTGGATTTGTCAAGATGTGCGTTTCACTGGTGAATGACATCCCTGAATGCCCAGTGAGAAGTCGCAACACTTGTTTGGCAAGCAAGACTTCTTTGGGAGCATTGTAGTTTCAAGAGGCACCCATGTTATTGAAGCATGCAGCATTCCCCTCCCATTCCGTGTTCAGTTGGGGCACTTGCCACATGTCAACTGTTTAACTGGACTAAGGCAGAGGAAGCTCTAACAGAAGCAGATGATGCAGAGAGCGCAGAGCAGGTGGAGCAGGGGGCAGGCTGGGCATCAGATTCTGGGCTGGCTAAAGCTTCCAGGGAACAGAGAGAGGATCACATGTTGTTGTCGTTTGCATAAATCGTTTGCACAGCCAATTGATAGTCTGGCAACGGATCTTGCGAGGTTAGATTGGTGACCTGCTGCAGGCTCAGAGCCAGAAGCCTCCAAACCGGGCGTCAAGGACCGATGACACATTAATGGCATGGCTTCCGAATCCTGGTAAGCGCATGGGTTTGGGAGTGACATCATGAGATTTCAATGTTGGCTGCGTTCCGAGGAGCTGCCAGCCAAAAGCAATGAAGGGCTGTTGTTGGTTCTGAATTGTTGTTTGTTGTAGGCTTGGTTGATTGATTGAGTGGTTTGATGGTTGGTCGGTGGGTTGGTCGATTTGTTGGCTTTGTACTCGCTATTCTTGCTGCTGCTGCTGCTGCTGCTGCTGTGGTGGCCGTGGTCGCCGTGGCCGACGCTACCCCCCTGCCTTGGGTCTGACTGATGCCCGTACTTAAAAGGAATGTTCCCCTGTTGGCTTTAAAGGGAATCTATCACTGCTGGAAATATATATTTTTTCAGGGGCTTAAGCAAAAATGGAGGTTGCTGTTCTGGTTGTTGGGAACCAGGTGCCACTACTTGCTTTGTCTGAGATTCAGCAAGTGCGTTCGGGTCATTTTGTCATACGTGGGCTCTCGAGAGTGCAGGACGTGCTGCCTGCAAATGTGGCAGAGTTTCACAGGGCCAGCCGTCCCTGCCTGAGGCGAGAGGAAAGAGCAATGCAACACCCGCAAATCCAGGCGTTTGTGCTTTCGTAACCGTACCAAAGTCCAGTCCTAGGTGAATGACCCACATGTGTCTGGATGACAGTCAATAAACATGTACATCATAGGGCCACTGAATAGATTGGGTCATCCCGGCAACGATCTGAAAAGGATACGCCCCATGAAAGCTCTATGGGCTGGGCTCTATAGCAATGCGCATGGCTTGACAGCGGCCGTTCTAAATTGCAAGTCTTAAATTGTGTAAAGGCTGGTCCTTAAGTGTTTGCGAAAGGAAAAACTGTAACGCGAGCGGTCGGTGATTGGAGCACGAAACGGCTGCAAAGAGTGGAAAGCCTTTGCTCGACAACCAGCTTTGCAAGCCTGCTTTGCCAGGAAAATAGAGGGCCACGGGGCCACGAAAGGTCGGCGAAAGGAACATTTCCAGGTACCTTCATTTTGAACAACCTCCCTCATGGACACAGGCACTGGCTTGTGTCCGCCGCAATTTTGGTGAGGTGCCTTTATCGTGTGTACTGGTAGACGGAGACTCCACCTAGGCAGCCTTTACATTGAAAGCCTTTCAAGGCCTGATTGTCCTGGAGACATGCATGGAATCTGAGGGAGGTGCAAAGGAACACGATTGGTTAGCTGCAGTCATGCAAGATTGAAGAGTTGGGTGGTTAACAGGCGATGAGAAGAGGATGGGAAAAGGACATGAATCCCAACCCCATCCTCCATTCCTTCACTCACTCATTTCTTTCCCTCGCCGCTGTTTCCCATGGTCAACATCCTAGATTAGAGAGCAATAGAAGTGAGAAAGGGATGTTGATGAAGGAAGGACAGCTTCTCTCGCATCCATTGGACGGCTATGAAAGAAGCTGGAGAGACTTATCTTCGTTCGCTTTCTCCTCCATTTCCCTCCCTTTCTATCTTGGAGTCAAATGGGGATGAGAAGCATTTGCACTCACCCTTTCATTAACCCACGTCCTCATACCTATCTTTTATCTCTTTATGTAGTTCCCATCTTCGCCCGAGCGAAGGAACACCAAAAAGAAAGGCAATCTCTTTGTGAATGGTGGAAATGCTCGGTAGAAAGATGATTGCACTTCCCATTCCTTTCTTCAACCTGGCTTGCTTCTGTTGACCAAACCCGTCCCATTAGGGGGTGCTCCCAAAAGTGGTCTGAATCCCCACAAGGACACCCCCCAATCAAAATCCTGGCTTGCGAAATGGAAGCCGAGGCCTTCACTTCCTGGGCACCTGGCGCGAGCGCTTCGAGCGCTGGCGCGCAGGCGGCGCAGGCCCGAGAAACCCGACAGGTACCTGCAGGAAATGCGGGGAAACCAGCAGTCACCTAGGATATGCTGGTGTATGCAAATGCATTTTTGTATCTATATTATAGATACATGCATGCATGCATGAATGCATGCACACATACATAGTATATATATATCTCTTTGTTGGCTGACCCTTTTCGGGTTTCATATCTGTGTGCGAGCCGCTGATGCCCAAAAGGGGATGGGGGCAGTTTGTCACTGTTTTTTCAAAGGTGAGCCATGTCCACATGCCAGGCCTTCCAGAACTGGCACAGCAGCTCCAGCAGGACATGGAACGCGTCGAAAGCGGAATGCCGCCCCAGGAATGGTCCAGCTACAAAAAAAGCATCCCCACCCCTTTAAATATGGAATTGGAGGAGGGGAGTGACCCCTGGAATTTCATTTGTGGTTGCATTTCCTTTGCGAGGGGAAGATTAGATATCTGGAATTGGGGACCCCCCACCCCCCCCCCTTATCATAGGGGGGATAAAAAAGCTATTTGATCATGACAGGTCTCCAATCCTGACTTTCACGTTATGTATCAACGTGCAGCCTTATTGGGTTGGTTACACTTGATGCATGTTGGGAACAAACACGCTTTGTTGTGTGTGTGTGTTTGCTGTTTGACTGCATGGTTCAATTCAAGTCGTTCATTTATACGGATGATGCTACAAGTGGGGGCACAAGGTACACACTGTAATTAACTTTCCGGCATTTATCACGGTTTTGGAGTTGGTTTACTTGCAATAGGGAATCCACTGCTGAAGTATTTGTGTTGTGCACTAGACCCACAGCCCGTGCGACTTCTTGTCTCTCCACTTGCTGCTTGATTTCAGATTCCTATTGTTCGTCTTGGAAACAAGCAGTCAACAAGTCAAATATGTGCGCAGAAAAGATGGAGCCGCTTGGCCTGCCTTTGTATGATTTCTTTCCACCGCAGGTCTTTGAACAATGGATTGTGGCATTCCATGAATCGGACAGAACAACCTCAAAGAAGATCTGTGTTGGCAGGAAGTGGGTGCCACGTGAGGAGCTCAATGCCCTTTATGACGCTTCGGCGTCCAACACCATTTGGGCTCATTTGGAGCTTGCCTTAGCACCAGGCCCTCGCGCGAAGCTTCGCACCCGAATGCTTCGTTTTGAGAGACGGAGGGCATTCGGGGGGCCGTTACTGTAGCAGTGGAGTCGTGCATTTTGCAAGGCTGTGCTGAAACCAAAGAGGCCTGCTTTCATTCCATCGACGGCAATTTAAGGGGAACATGATGAGCAGCATAACGCTTTGACCTGGAACTTGCTTCATCCTTTGATGTTAGACTGTTAAGCCTTTTCTTTGAGGGTCTTATTTGAAGGCTTGCTTTCTTTGCGACATGTGTCCCGCCCGTTTGGAGCTTCCCTCACTCGGTTGCTGACTCATGCTCGTTCCCTTTAAGCTCTTCAAAAGGGTGCCGTTTGATTTGGGCGCAAAGGTACAGATCAATGGACAGATTGGACATGTGTCAAGAACAGGGCGCTGCATACAGGGGGACAGTCTCAGCGCCGGCAACCATTTGGAGGGATCCCGAAAGCAGCCCACGAGGGCCTCAAGTTGGTCTGAGGACATGGATTGCTTCTTCGTGTCCGTGGCTTCCCGGGATGCTGCGGGAAGCTCAGCAAAGTTGGCGAAACTTCACGGTGTCCGACGCGAAACTTCACGGTGCTAACGCACGGATCTTTGGTTCAGCTTCAGTGATTCAGGCAGCTATTCACAGTGGCAAGAGCAGTGACGCTGTTGATGGCAGAGAAACGGTGCCACCAGAGATACTCGAAGATATTGGCAACCGAACATCATGGGCGCTTCTAGGTGCAAAGTCATGTGCAGGATGTGGTTTACAGTCTAATAATTTCAACCAATCAACCGGCAGGAAGCAGACAACGGTTCTCGCGAGCTTTCATTTCCAGTGCCAAGGGAGCCAGTGAGGATGTCGGGCGCTCAATCGCTGCGGAAATCGTTTGCTTGTGAGAGTGGGCACTGCAGCTTGTTGTGGCAGTCGGCCACAGCTACAGAATCGTAAGTGAATATCTATATAGCAAAACACTCATAAATGTGTATATATATATATATACTGTGATTGTGTATGTCTGTCATGATGAGCAAGCCTTCCAATTGATTGGGTCCGTGTCGGTTTCTGCTTGAAACATACGAGGCAGGGGCTGCCTCAGATCCTCCGTCACTCAAATGCCTTGAAGTGGCCATGCCAACAATTTGTCAAGCGAAGGGTTGTGCCCACTGCTCCAGTTGTAAGGAAAGCTGGAGTGTTTTGATTGGTATTTGTGAGCTTGTCGGCAAAATTTCAGGGCGCACATATGATACTGGCAGTTTTCACAAAAGGAGAAGCGTGTTCAAAATGCTTTGTCGAACATGAATCTCAAAATTATGATGGCTGGCGTGAGTGCACCAGAAAGATTGCCGGGCGTTGGACAAGTAGGCCCCAAGATCTTGTGAGTGGTGCGGCCCACAGTCCAAGCCCAGTCGCAAACTTCTTGCTTTGTTCTTGTTGTTCCAAGCTCATCCAATGCATGGATCTTGTGCTTCGCCGTACCAAGGGTACAGAGGCATTGCGATCCTGGGCACTATTTTGGTCTGCAGCTTGCATGTAAAAAACCTGTTTGTTTAGACCCTAAGCCCTTTCAACAGATCTGACCATCCCCCCCCCCCCAGT